TAATTTTGTTGCTGTACCACACAAGTATCTGTCTGTCTACCTTCTAAACATTTCTATTCATTCCGTGTGAACAGCTTTCTGGGGAAAAGCATTCCACAACTCCGAGTGTGAAGAAACAGTTCCTGACCTCAGTTCTAACCGTCTTGGCTTATGATTGGAAAAATGCAATGACTTGTTTCAGGAACCTTTAGAAAAGGTCAGAAATAAACATCCAACAAACAGTGCAACAAAAGCACAATTTACTCAGCTGTTCCATTGAAGTGAATAGTCTCTTTAGATTGCCTTGTTATAACATGCCTTCTGGCCATCTCACAAATAATATGTTATAGCACGAGCAAACTCTCAACAAATACTTAAAATAGTGTCACTCCTCCTAGCTAGTTGCTGGGTTGCTTTAAAAAGGCACTGTCTTGCTTGGAAGTATTTGCAAAACGCTTTCTGTCTGTCTGGCAAAGCACCAAGATGGCACGATATGGTTTACATCAAAACATGCTCTTGAGTTTCAGAAGCCTCATCCTATTGTTTGCTGTCTGATATGAGCAGAATACTGTGATGCATGACTGCTCACCTCTCTCGGTTCTTTCAGCAACAAGCACAGACCCGCAAATTTGTACAGCCTCACAATTTGGTTGGTGTGTTTGCCTACAAAATATACAGTCACAGAATTTCACAGTTAAACCTGTGAAGAGTGTTCTGAGCTGTCCTCCTGACATGAAAGGCGTTTTACCAAATGCAAAAAATATGTATTATTAATAATTCAAAGGCTACAAAGAATTCTTATGTGAACATAAGTCAATTTTAAGGTGAAATGCATCCAGTTGCATTGCTCCTAAATGACTACTTCACAAGACATGATTTCATTTTTGTTTTTGAAATGTTATTTTCACAAAGCTGAATGTTGGTTATTTAAATTCTGGTTGATCGTTTCTTAGACAGGGCAGGGGAAGAGGAGAGGTGAAAAATTAACCAGATCAGATGTTAAAACTAAAAACAAAACTTCTAATGTTATCACTTTAATTTAGCTGTATTTTTGCAATTAAACTATTTTCTAAGGTTATTTTCAGAAAGTTATGTTGTTCACATTAACCCGTGTTACCTTTATTGCTGTAGATTTATGGGTGATCAGTAGCTTTAAAGATAGTCACATATTAAAATTGACACTTATTTCATGCCGAGATGAATTAAATCCACATGGTGAATGAATCTGCTTGAAAAGAGAAGATTGAGAGGCGACATGATTGCTGTCTTTAAGATTCTAAAGAGGAAAGACAATATAGACCATGACAGGCTGTTTCAACTTGTCCAGAATAGTAAAACCAGAGGACACGGCCTGCGATTGAAGGGGGGTGAATTCAGAACAAATCTACACAAACACTATTTTAGTGAGAGAATGGTGAACCTGTGGAACAGGCTCCCTGGTGTGACGGTTGAAGCAGGAAGTGTCGATTCTTTCAAACACAAACTAGATAGTTTTCTTTTAGGAAATAACATTATAGGATATAGTACATAGGTAGTTTGGGACATATGTGAATGCGACCACCAGGAAGGTGGAAGGCGAACTAGATGGACCTTGGTCTTTTTTCATCTAGCATTTCTCACGTTCTTATGTTCTTATCTGCATATTACTTGTGACCAAATCAAATAGATGAGATCACACACATCTAAGCGCTTTGCAGAATTACCCACAAATTGATCCTGGGTTGAAAAGATATTGCGATAAATGCAACCTTCATATTGTTATTGTTAACATCCTTACGTCAATGCACCCTTTATCAGAATAAAATTCCAGTCTGCTGTATAATGGTGCATGATCACTCGTCAGTGTTTCAGCATTCACGGTGCGTGTGCACAGAAAGTGCTCCATCAGCACTTTAAAAAAGCCATGCTGTGCAGGAAGTGATGTCAACAATAACCAAATCAGGGTACTAATTAAATGTTAATTAATTGAACCCAATAAGTTTGCTTTTCATTTGATTTAAAAACGGCAATTTCGGCACAAAGTATATCCTTCCCCAGAGGGTAATTCACAATTGGAACAGGTTACCAGGAAGGATGGTTGGAGGCAGGATGCTGGATTAATTTACAAAAAACTGTTTTATGCTGTGACGGTTTAGGAAGGGTATTTTGGAGGGATGCAATCAAATGAGGCAAAGGCCTTTTTTTTAATATTCCAAACAATCTTGTGATCATGAGTGATCTTGTGAATGTAAAATGGGGAAGTTGTCTGAACCACATCCTTTTCAAGCCTGTCTTAAGTTTAACGTAAAATCTGTGCTCTGGCAGAAATGTTCCCTTCGCATTATTTTATCTTAATTCGTGCTCAACAATAACTTACATTTATTTTATAATAATGCCCTTGATGCAGAGCAGCATCTCGGAATGCTCACTTCAGAAGCTCCATAGAAAGACCTCAACTTTAAAATGTAATGGTGATAAAGCATGAGATGGAGAGCGTGCAAAGTTCTACAAGTGCTCATTTCTGCTGGTCAAGTCATACAGTAAGAGTGCCAAAGATAGGAAAGCTAGATAACAAAACCTGGGCATGATGCAGTCGGAAATCCAGTCAAGCCCTTTTCTCAAACCTCTCTGGCACAAAAGCAATTGTGGGACAAAAATGGGCTAATGTGCCAAACAGCCCAGCAGCTCTCCAATTACAATACCACCACTGAACCCAAAGCAGCAGCTTCCAACTGCAGCTATCAGTGGCAAAATCATCCTAGCCTCCAGATCTGGGCAGGGCTGCTGATCTGAGACTCGTCTGAACATGGACTAATTGACCATGGACAACTGTTAGCTGAGCTGTAGATGCTCAATGATCATTTCATAGGTGTTGTTACAACAACAACTTGGATTTATATAGCGCCCTCCACGCCGGATGGCCTTTCAGAGCACTTTACCGTAATGGATCCCGGGACCGAGCCAGGGGGGTGACCAAAGGCGCGGTCGAAAAGAAAGGTCTTCAGCAGAGACCTGAAAATGGAAGGGAGGGAGCGAGACGAAGGGAGTGAGGAAGGCAGTTCCAGAGCCTCGGGGCATAGTGGCTGAAGGTACGGCCGCCGAGGGTGGAGCGGAGGACTTGGGGGATGAGGAGGAGGCCAGACCCGGAGGAACGAAGGCAACGGGTACTGTTTTGTTAATAACATCCAGAAATATCTGTGTTGGAGATTGATTCCTTTATTTCAAATAAAATACATCATGACCATTTAAATAACAACACACAGAACGTATGAGTGATAGGTTGTAACATAATACTTGGTAAAGTGCATCTGGCAGCAGATTCTATCCATGGTGGTTCTGCCAGTTAGTCAAAGATTGATGTGTGAATTGGTTCCCTTAAGAGGGCTCAGGATGAATGCTCACTGCCTTGGAATCACTTGCAATCTGAGGCATAAGAAGTGATTACAAGTCGTTGGCCTCGTACATTTGTCATGATGAGGAGATAGTCCTGGCACAATGGACTGAATCTGCACCATTGTAGATGTGATGCATATGCAGCGCTGCTGATAAAATATAATTTTACAGCCAAACAAAAAATAAGAGGCATGTGGGACTGGCAGACTGCTACATTATCAGAATCCCAATTAGTAACCATGCGGTCTTCTCCTTTAAACTTTTAGCAAATAAGACCTATTTTCATAATAGAGCAGTGATTGGGATCCAGGGAATACTTCAAACCTTTCAGCGGGGATTGTTCTCTCTACTGATGGGATCTGCAGTTCCTTCAGGAATTTGCTTTCCATCCAGCACTTACCAGGAGGAAAGAGGTACAATGCAATACAAAATTACATTTGTGTAGCTCCTGTTATGTCCAATGTCCGAAGGCGCTGGACTGTCAGGGATTTAGACCTGAACGGGTGGGGCCGGGCCGGGGGAGACTTGGAATCAGGGAGGGTGCAGGGTAGGAGGGTGGCAGAAGGCACCCTCTGAATCTGAAGCCAAAGGTGCCTGAGCGTGTTTGTGTGCGTGTGTGTGTATACCCACATATTGTTGCTTTTGCAGTAATCTCTAGTCTCTACTTCCGGGGAGGAGAGAAGAAGATATTGGAAATGATCCAGTGGTAGGAGAGGATGTCTATTTCATCCTCCCCACTGATAATCTTCTCCAATTACAACCATTCCAGGGCCCTAGAGGTTTATGACTTGGGTTGGCTATTTGGGGAGTGTGGGCCTCTTTTGTCACCGAATATTCGGTGGGGAACTTCCAGGGTACTGGATTTGAACATGCTCAAAACACCTACTGTCCACATGGAGAGAGAATAAAGTGATGGGGAACAAATCAAACTAAACACACAAAGAAGATTAAAGCCAGACAACCTTGAGTGAAGACCAGGGTTCTAACAAGCCTTTGTTTAGAACATGAAAATTGCAGCTTCTCACCTGATATCACCTCAATGATATCAAGGAAGCTGCACACACTCATGGCCCACAGCCAGAAACAACAACTACTACTACTTGCATTCACGCAGGGTGGTGTCTCGAAACAAACTGGCAGCTAATGATGCTGGAAGCGGCCATTGCTCTACTGCCTCTTGAAATGACAAGCGGTGCATCCAGAGATTGAGTTACTCTCTCATTTAAGTTAATAAGCCCCAATTGTTCAATTTATGTAGGTTGAGACTTTCCATGTTGGGAGTCCAGGACACTTATGCCACAGCCCCCAGGAGTGTTCCGGTCTGGAAGGTGTGCTCTTAAGTTCCAGTTGTTTTTTGTGAAATTAGAATATCCAATAGATAAACCATGGAGACAGATTCAGACCCTGCTCAGGTACATCCCTTTAGGTTTGTGACAATAAAATCCTGACTGTTTCTGAGTGGTGAGAGATTCAGTCTGTGTAATAAAGCTCTCGGTCCAGGTTTGCTTCCAGTACGAGTTTCTGACAAGCACAGCCGCTCGCTCCAGTTTGTTTGTTGCTCTGTACTTTCCTCTGGCACTGATATTTTTGGAATGAAAACTGCCACGTTTTACACTCTCTCACAAAGACCTCATCTGTTTTCATTTTAGGAAAAGCCTGACACCAGTCCAACGTCCTTACAGCTGCGATCCCAGATTGAAGTGAGTAAACGCAGCCTTTATTGTGTTTTATTTCACTTGGTGACTCTCCAAGATCACGTGAATTTACTAAACTCACTGTCTGATTTCAAAAGCNTTTTTTTTAACACACCAGTTAATAACTCTGAACTTGTTTCACAGGAATCACTTGGCCTGGGGAGTGCACTGTCAACGCCAGAGTCTGAGAGAAAGTAAGTTGGATTTACAGTCCAGTCTAGTTAGTCACCTGCTCGTAAATAAATGTTCTTCATGTGCTGCTGCGAGGCAAAGATCTTACTTTTTATAGTGGAGTTTTGTCAGTGCCTGGCTTGTGTTCCCCTCTCTCACTTTCGCCTGCTCTTTGCCATTTTGTCTCTGACAGTCACATAGCCAAGATTGTGTCAGAGACACCCATATGTTAACAATGTGAGTAACCAGTCAAAGTGCTTCAATGCCACAAGCCTGGCTCAGTTGGTAGCACCTCTCGTCTCCGAGTCAGAAGGTTGTGAGTTCAAGCCAAGTGTCGGGACTTTGAACTCATATTCTAAATTGACACTCCAATACAGTATTGGGGGTATATGTATCATTGAAGATGCAAGAATATACTGAGTTTGCACCTGCCTGTTCATGCAGATGTTAAAGATCTCACAGCAATACTCAAAAAGAGAAGGGAATTTCTCCCAGTGTCCTGGCCAACAATTCCCCAAATAAAATTGGTCATTCACTCCATGGCTGTTTGTGGGACCTTGCTGTATGGTAATTGGTTGCTACACTTGCCTACAAAACGGACAGTCACTAACTTTACAGTATAAACACAGAAGTTGCTGGGAGCACACAGCAGATCAGGTAGCATCCATGGAGAGAGGAAAATGAGTTAATGTTTCAGGTCTATGACCTTTAGGCAGAACTTTCATCAGTACTTTACCTTTAACTTTACAGTATATCCTGTTAGGCACTTTGAGACCTCATCCCAATGTGAACGGCACTATATAAAATGTAAGGATTATTATTAAATTGTTATTACTATTAAATGCACCTTATGCTGGTAAAACGTGTGCTTTCTTCGTGCTACAAACCACTCATTCTTACCAATGGAATGGTCAGGCACATTTGAACCGCTCACCAACTTGAAGGAGAAAAACCTCCTGTCGTAAGAAAACCTAGCCAACAGCAGCCCCCACTTCTCACCTCTCCCGCTGCTCTGTCCCTGTGGCTGGAGTTACTGGGACTGGCTCCTCTTTACATTGTTTCAAAAGGAGATGGAAACAGTGGCTTTGCAAAACTAAATTGGTTCATGCACCAACACGTATTGGGAATGCACTGAATTCTAATTCTGTTTTTTCAGAATGATTCAAAGAGTCAAGAGTGAACAGGGGTACCTTTGAAGGCTTTTTGATGGGCAGGAGTGTGAGACTGCCAGCAAACTTGTTAATTCCCCACAGCCTCGATCACCGTTAGAGCTCCACGATTGGTTGTGTTTTTTAAACAAACTGAAACATATAACGGGTGAAAGAGTGGGATTAGGCTGAACGTTCAGCTGGGAAAAGGTTTTAAACGTACGTCAAAAACATTGACTTCTGTTGAGACACTAAACCAAGCTCTTGTTTGACTGTTCAAGTGGATACTAAAGATCCCATGGCACTATTTAAAAAGAGAAGGGAGCTTTTCCTCATGACTTGGCCAATAGTCCCCCAAATAAATTTGGTCACTCACTTCATGGCTGTTTATAAGACACTGCGGTGGGAAATATTGGTTGCTGCGTTTGCCTATAAATACACAATCACTACAATTTACACTATGGAGTCCTGTAGCTCAGTGGTTAGCACAATCGCTTTGCAAGCGAGAGACCTAGGTTTGACTCTGGGGCATTGGAAACATTGGATAACTTCTCTGAGGGTAATAATTCCTTCAAAAAATAATAATAAATTGATCACCTAATCCACAATTGTTTCTTCATTAGTAAATTAGCAAAAACAAATATTGACTGTTTGTGGGACACTGCTGTCCGCAATTGGCTGCTGTGTTTCGCCCACAAAATATGATTATTATTATTTTTCAGCAACAGATTCATTCCTAAGTTAGGAACATAATTAATCAAGAACAGGAGGAGGACATTGACTCTGTTCCACTAGTTTGTTAGATCACAAGATTGGTTTGGATGAAGAAGGCCCATCCGATCTCATCCTTTCAGAACACCCACCCTATGTTTCCCCCAAAATATAGTGTCAATTCACTTTACAGTATATTCTGCGAATCACTTTGAGACATCTTGAAGACATGATAAGGCCCTATATCAAATGCAAGGATTAATATTATTATTAAAATCCTGTGAAGTGCTTTGAGACAACAACAACTTGCATTTATATCGTGGCCTTAGCGTCTCGGAGCACTTACATGACGTGATAAGTTGCTGTAGCAAATGCAAGGATGATTATAATTATGGTGGTAGATCAGAATGAATATAAAATATTTCATAAACAAGAACAGAGAATGTAAAAATGCCAGCTCTGGTATCACATGGTGGGAGGACATATAATAACAACTTACAATCATATAGCTTCCTTCACGCAGGATAGGGTCGGAGAATGCTGCAAAATTCATCTTGTCATGACTTGCTTCCCCATGGGCCCCTCTCTGAAGGGACTAAACAGAGTTGCAATACTTCACCTAAGGTAGAATAAGACAAACCATTATCCATCCAAATTCCTAGTAACTTAGACTCAGAATGAGCCTGCCTCTGAGAGGTTACCTGATCCTGTATTCGGAAATACAGACACACTCCCCCACCCCCAAACTCCCCCCCGCCCACACACACACACACACACAGATGCACACATAGGAAAAATCAGAAATGCATTCTGTATGAGTGATACCACGAATCATTGGACACATTAAGAGCACTTTTATAAATTCATGCATATTTATAAACTTTTGATACTTGCACTTTTCTCTATAAAAGTCATAGTGAATTATTTGAAAAAAATCTTGTTAAACACAGGATGGGCACTAGATGGCAACACTAACAGACTGGTTTCCACAGAAACTGCTTTTTAAAGTCCACGGATTACACACACCAAGTTGTATTGCAGTTCGACTGGTCATCAAGCCATATGGGTGTCAAACATACGGGCCGGTGGCGGCCCATGGGGTGACATTTGGTGGTCCACCCCACTAGCCACAAGCACAACACCGAGAAACTAGTCAGGACATCTCGGCTTCAGCCCACCTGTGCGACTGAACTGTACAGGATCGGAATGATCTAGTGATCCACTTTTTTACGTCTCAATTGAGCTTGTGCTTTGCAACTAACCGGGCAACTGAGTTCCTATCTGCTGCTTCAGTTGGGTATTATCGATCCCATGGCACTATTTAAAAAGAAAAGTTACCTGGTCAACAATTCTCCAGGTAAATAATAGTTATTCGCTTCATTGCCTGTTTGTGGGACATTGCTGCATGCAAATTGGCTGCCACCTTCACTTTCAGACAGACAGTCTCTACACTTTGCAGACAAACTCTATGAAGTGCTTTGAGATGTGTTGACAAGGTGATAAGACACTATATTAAATGCAAGAATTGCTATTTGAAAATATCACTCATTGATATTACTGGTCCATTAAGGGCATGACACATTGTAGGCAGGAAGGGTCACGTGTAGCCAGCTCCACACTCCAGCTCAGGGTTCCCTCTTGCTCTGTAGAATGTATTTGTGCTGTGTGCAGTGAATTTATGCAGTCACAAAAGCTCACAGGTTGGGGAAATTAGCGCTAAATGTATGATGACTGCTGTGGAAAATGGGAATGTTTCACACTGCTATAATAAGGAGGACATACATCATTGTACTTTATAGAGTGATTAAGAGAAAGCATGAATCAGTAATTTTATAGCTTCTTATATTAAAACACTTTAAAATGCTTTTATAGTAATTGCTGACAAATGAAATTACTTTTTGAATGCCAGCTAAGGAGACATTTTTGGCAAAGCAAGTTCCACTAGCAGCCGTGAAATTAATAACCCAATTTTTTATCTGGGAAATTCTGGACCAGGATTCCAGGCGAAATTCCCTTCTCTTTTTGAATAGTTTTGTGGGATCTCCACATGCCTCTGTTTACCTAGCAGTCGATTGGCGGATAGCTTTTCTGGAGGTAATAAACCCTTCCAAAAAAAAATTATAATAATCGGTCACTCAATCCATGACTGCTTGTGGGACACTGCTGTTGCAATTGGCTGCTGCGTTTCGCCCACAAACATATACAGTCAATTCACTTTACAGTGTATTCTATGAAGCGCTTTGAGACGTCTCAAAGACGTGATAAGGCCCTATATTAAATGCAAGGATTATTATTATTATTATTACCTTAAATGCCTACCTGAATAGGCAGACGGAACCTCATATAAAGATGGGAACCTCGAACAACCTAGCACTGAAGTGTCAGCCCAGACTATGATCTCGGTCACAATGTGGGGCTTGAAACCACAACCTTCTGACCCAGCGGTTAAGAGTATTACCAATTGAGCCAGGCTGTGCATTAGTGGAATTGTACTGAGGGAGTTTACTGTGCTGTCAAAGGTGCAGTGTGGGAAAATCAGCAAAAGGTATAACATTTAAAAAGCCTAATGTTGGCCCAAATAAAGAAACTCAGTTCTTTTAACATAACAGTTTATTCCGTTGCTGTGCCCAAATTGGCTGCTGCACAAAAGCACCATTACTCCACTTTGCACTGTATCCTGTGAAGCACTTTGGGATGTTCTCCTGACATATGAACCATTCAGACTTTTATCAGAATCTCAGCCAGGACAGACATAATGTTGATAATTTGCTGGGCTTTCTCAACAACAACTTTCATTTATGTAGCACTCTTCATGCAGGGTAGCGTCTTGGAGCGCTGAGCAATGCAGTCATTATTCCTTCCACATGTAGTCACTTTTATTTCTAGAAAGCAGAAAAAACATTGCTGTTTTCAATCTTCAAAACATAAACTAAGTGGAGGTCTGTGAGAGGGGCTCAGCCAAAGTAAAACCTCATCTGCAAGGTTGAATAATGATGACAGACACAAAAGAACTATCGACAGATCAGCAGCAAAGCTTAGTTTATTTTAGCTGCAATAACTAATATATAGCTCCGTTCCTTTGTAATAAGAGTTTGTCATAACACATTAATATGATCCAATATGAAATTCCACCTATTAAACTCGGGAATCAGCACCACGTCTCAACACCTCACTTAACCCACTGCTAACGGTCTGATGCTAGACGGAACACAACATGGAAACAAGCCAGGGTTAAACTATTACAGCCTGTCATACTTCATTTGTTTTAACCGACATCTGAGTTTCAGATTAATGACAGGTGCAAGTGGTTTAAGGATGGTGTTATCCATAGGTAACTCTTTCAGTAACCATCTGGGTGTCTGAACCGGGTTAATAGCGAGTTCCAGCATACAAATGTTTGATGGTTAAGTTTACGAATCCTGAATTTTGGTAACAGACCTGGAAAAAGACCATTTTCTTTTTTTGTGTGTCGGCCTGTTTTTTTTGCACCTTGCTTTCCAATATATTCGCAAGTCAAATTTGTTAAGCAACAAATCCAGTTTACGATCATAATGATAATAATTCTTGCATTTTATGTAGAGCCTTACCACATGTTGAAATGTCTCAAAACTCTTCACAGAATGTATCATAAAGTTTAGTGTGCATTTGTAGACAAACCTAATTTGGATTCTCCTAAATTAGCCTTTGCTGATTTCCACTGTCGTTCGATGGTAGCAGCGAGGATGAGGGGTGAGGGGAGGGATGGGGCGATGGAGTGGGGTGGGAGGGAGTAGGATAAGAGAGCAGGTCAGGCTTTCAATCAGACAAATTCAGAATTCAATTTCCAGACAATCTGTTGTGTCATTTCAGAAGGGAATTTCAATTCCTGCAGGTGATGCGTGAAATTGAAGTCCAGGCAACTGTTCATTTCAAGTAAAGCACAAGTGAGCCTGTCTGTGGCTGTGGAATCGCAGGAGTCAAGGAATGTGCTCTGCATGATAAATTACTCATTCTAGAGCACCTCGATCATTTTATTTTCACGCACAAAAAAGGGAGAATTAGCTAAGAGTGCACATTGACATTAAAGTGTTGCTGTGGTATTTTCTCAGAATGGCCATCATTTCATAAAAAGAGGCAAGTGAATAATCCCAAAAATAATTTTGTAGGATCTCTTTATACTGGAGCGAGGTAGTCTATAATTTCCTGGTACTGTGCAGATTAATTGTTAAAAGGCGTATTTTTTGGACTATAATTGTAAGACTAGTATTTGTGCTGGACACAGACTTTTCTCCTATTATAATAATAATATAGCACCTTTCACACCTTTGAGATGTTGCAAAGCACTTCACAGAATATACTGTAGAGTGAATTGACTGTATATTTTGTGGGCGAAACACGGCAGCCAATTGCGCGCAGCAGTGTCCCACAAACAGTCGTGGATTGAGTGACCAATATAGTGCCATTAATCATGTCATTGAGAGGTCCCAAAGTTTTCACAAGGTTTTATGTGAAGTGTAGTGACTGTATTTGCAGGTGAATGTGGCAGCCAGTTTGCATATAGCAATGTCTCACAAACAACCGTGAAACGAATGAAAATTTATATTTGAGGGAGCGTTGGCCAGGAGGCTGGGAGAAACTCACTCTCTTATCAAATAGTGCCATGGGATCTTTAGCGTCCACCTGAACAGGCAGATAGAACCTCGATTTATCATCTCGGCATCTCCGGCAAAGCAGCTCAATCCCTCCCCAACCCCCCCCCCCCTCCCCCCCTCCTCCTCCAGCACTGTATTGGAGTGTCAGCCTAGACTATGAACTCAAAGTCCTAACGTGGGGTTTGACCGTCTGACTCAGAGAAAAGAGTGCTACCAACTGAGCCAAGCTGACACATGAAACCATGATGCATACACAATTCCGCTGCTTGAAAATGATTTGGTAATGTGTGGATCTCTTGAATCTGAGGCTATTGTTATTTCCTCACATTCCACTGTTTCCTTTCCTCATCTCACTGACTTTATGCAGCATTCTTATTTCATTCCCTTTTTTTCTTTCAACAGAGATTCCATTTGCAAGTCAAGCTCAGAAGAGGGGTCAATAGGTATGTTTCACTGTATCTACATTTATGAAATTAGAAATAATTCTTCTCGTATTTTAGACTTTAGCCTTTTTTTTAAGATAAGGACACAACGTGGGTTCCGTCATCTCTTGAGAGATGATCTGAGGAAGGAAAGATTTTTTGAGGCAGTGTAGACATTTAACTACTCACTTGTCCTGAAGAGTCCGAATGTGCAATAGCGGAACAGAATCTATGTAATTAAAGTCGAATTGGATCTTAACATTAGCACCAAGAGTACACGGGCCTGAAGTTGAACCTTGTGTTGATTTGTAAGACTATCAGACCCTGTTGAATTGTGGAAAATTCTCAAATTCAGTCTTAATTGGAAAGCTAGTTTTTCCACAATTCATAAAAAGGGGCCCACTGTCAAACTGTGATTGAATTTAAGAATATTTCACAACTCTGCGCAATCTTAAATTTGGATACAGGCTGAGACTAGGTGGAATTTTGGGCCTCCCATTCTGGTTGATTCTCTCTACCTATTTACCAGCACAGTTGAACTACTAAAATACCAACTAATAAAAAAATGATTTTATTGCACAAAGTTATGCAACTAAGCATTATAAATCCCTCCACCTTGCACCTTCCTCCTCTTTCAAAAGCTTTCTAAAAAACTCTCTGACTGTGCCTTTAGTCACCTCCCTTCTAACCTTGTCATCCTGCTCAGGCTTCCTCACCATCCTCTCTAACGAACTTTGAGATCTTTAACCATGTGAAAGGGAAAGTTGTGTTGTGTGAAGATGAGGGTTGAGATACATTTTGTTGCCTGATTTAATTTAATATATTTAATTTCCAGGAAACAGCGACTTGAAAAAGAAAAACAAGTCCTTTTGGCAGAGTTTCCGTAAACCACAGAAGGGAAATGTATCGCGACAGACTTCTAAAGGTGTGTGGCAAGTCTTTAATTTCTACTTGTTCAGGTACCAATTATGCAATAAACCAAACAGCCACTTAAGATACAGTGGGGATTATTTGCCTGTCACGCTTGATAACCAGAATGAGCCAAGTTGGGTGAAGTGCAATGGCAACAAAAGCAGGGAGTAAAGCTTGAACCAACACATAAACAAAACGGTTCTATTGCCATAAGCTAATCATTTCACACTCTGCCAATGCTCCAGGCTGATGGTTTAACCATAATAATCTGTACAAAACCAGACTGAGAGAGCGTGCTCAGCTGTAGTATTAAGATTATGGTTTTAGCACTACCCTGCATGAGGTGCACTATATAAATGCAAGTTGTTGTTGTTGGTTTAAAAAATTTGCATTCGTTTAATGAAATTTGTTGAGACAATAACACAGAAGTGCACAGTCTGGTTTTGAATAACCCAGAGAGAGAAAATCATGAAGAATTTAATTTGAAGTGTGTTTGCAGCAGGCAGTTCATGTTTAATATATGGATAATTAGAGACAAATTAGTAAAACTTGAATCTTTGAACATCCATTTGACCTTCATACATAAATGAATAGGTCATTATTCAACTACAAAAACCCAATGAGACACAATCTCTTTAGAAGTCTGGCATTGTGTTCTTTCCCAATCTGTTCTTGGAGGGAATTAAGCTCTGCCCTTTCCCCCACCCCCAATCTTTTCAGTAGTTCCTTCTGCTGTCAGCATATCAGAGAGCGTTAATTTTTTTACCATTTCATCCTTCTCTTTCATTGGCAATTTGTAGCATTTGCAGCTTTAATCCCTTCTATAAACATTCAATTTCTATTTCCTGTGTTTAACATTGCAGTGTCAGATGTTGGCTACTAATCTTACAATGTATTTTATTGTTTAGATAATTTGTTGCTCAATCAAGGCCTATGTTGCTTCAATTGATTTCTTACAACAATTAACTCCTCTTCAGTTAATGCTGGTGTCTGGTTTTAATATCTGAACATTTTGTCATGGATCCCTCCCAATGACTTGACAGTCAGGTTGCTAATGTTTACTAATGTTGCATTATTTCCAAAAATACCAGATGTTGCCAAGTTAAATAGTCAGGTTCCTACTGAACACATTCACTGGAAGGAACTGCTGTGGACCTGAATGGTTTCACTCAGTGCTGAATGGAAAGAGATCTCAGTTTCCTCTTTATATCTGAGCCAAGTGTCGAACTGAGTCGTACAGATTTGGAAGGTGAAAGGTTCGATCCCTGATCTGTGCTAAGTTGGCTGATCAGAGCGGGAACAGTAGTAGGGATGCTACAATTGGCTTTGATGCCCCTTGGCTAGAGAATTTGTGGAGTCCTGGAGCTCAGTGGTTAGAGCACTCGCTTTGCAAGTGAGAGACCTGGATTCAATTCCAGGCAGGGCAAAACCTTGGGCAAGTTTCCTTACTCCACACGCCTAATAATAATCCCTCCAAAAAACAAAAGCAATAATAAATTGGTCATTTTCAATCCACGACTGTTTGTGGGACATTGCAATTGACTGCCGTGTTCGCCCATAAATATACAGTCAATTCACTTTACAGTATATTCTGTGAAGCGCTTTGGGACGTCCTCCCGACGTGAAAAGCGCTATATCAAATGCAAGGATTATTATTATTACTATTATAGAATGGAGAAAAGTCAGGACTTCCACTGATTGCAATCGAGTGATTCATTTGCAAATGGTTCGAGTGTGAATATGCACGCGTACATTCATGCACAAGTGTGTGTGCGTACTCAAGTGTGTGTGTTTGACTTATGTTCATACACACCTGTGTCTGTAATGGAATGTGCACTCTCTCCCTGGAGAAATACACCCAGCTAACCTAATCCTGGAAACAATTAGGCGGACAGTTGGAGAGACCAAAGATTTGTTTGGGGGAAGAGTGTGCGTTGGGTACTGCAGAAGTTTCACCAGTTAAAACCACATCGCTTGTCAGTGTGAGCACTGTGCGACAAATTATTTATCCAACTAGGACCACCCTACTCACCAGAGCTGTGGTTGTGGATTAATAGGAGCTAAGTGGGAAGAATCCCTGCTTCTTGGGGTCTATTACTCCCGGACGGTTGACATGCCAGATTGACTGGTCTGTCATCAGAGTAGCCAGGAGTACTGCGGAGCTGCCTGGCTCAGGACCAGGACTTGCAACACAACCACAAAGGGTTGACTCGATTCGGACATTCTTTTGCTAAACAAGTCACCTTGGAACCCAGGATAATATAGTTGTTTTCTTTAAAGCATTAACATCATGAGCCAACTGTAGATAACCTTCAAGCTTGAGAATGTCTCTTCCCCCAAGTAGTCGCATTTCATTGCATCAGCCATAACAGTGACGTCTGCATTCAGTCCAATTTTCCAAGCTGAGCGTCTGAGAGGCAAGAAAGGGGGATTCATTCCTGCCGAGGAAGTTTCATGGTTTTGTTGTTTTTTCTGCGTGGAAAATTCTTGTCAGTTAGATCCTTTGGCAGGGATCACAGCAAAATCTGCAAAACTCGTAGCTCAGTGATCATCAAGTGACGTGAGGTGTGAGTCATGTGAGGTGGCTTTCACTAAGAATGGTGATATGGAGAAATATTCCACAAAACCCTATCCTGGATTCTGGAGTTGTGGAAATAATAATTCAACAAATCGTCTTATTCCCAAAAGAAAGTAGCAGTCTATCCCTGACCACTCATAGGTTACTTTATTCTGATGCGACAAAAAGACCTGGAGACAATGGGCAAGCCTTTGCTTTTTGGGCCTTTCCTTTCTGTCAGCTCTATACCATAGTATTGTGGTTTCCCAGTCAAGGTATATTGGGAGAAAGGGGAAAATTGCAGGAAAAAAGGTGACGGACTTGCTTTCAAATTCAGACTGATCCAACCTTTTCAAAGCAAAATGGGATATATTACAAATACTCTTCTCAGAATTAGGGCCAGTCTCTGCTTAATCACTGGCATTTGCTCAGGAACAAAAATGCGAAAATACAACATGTTCTACTCTTACTTTGATGCGAAGTCGTTTGTGCCAGACCATACCGGACCACACAACTGTAACTCAAAATACCAGTTGATAATTAAGATTCTAAAGGGACTAGATAACCTAGCCCATGATAAGCTGTTTTATCTTGTAATGAACAGTGGAACCAGAGGACATGGTCTGCGATGGAAGAGGGGTAAATTCAGAACAAATCAAAAGAAAAGAGATCTGCGGAAGCACTATTTCAATGAGCAAGTAGAAAATGTGTGGAACAGGCTCCATTGGGAGATAATGGAAGCAGAAAATGTGGATTTTTTCCAGAACAAATTGGATAGATTTCTGTTAGAAAATAATATCTCAGGACACAGTCTATAGTTTGGGACCCGACTGCCAGGATAGATCTGGCCTTCTTCCGCCTAGCAAATTCTTATGTTCTTATGTAATTAATTCGTAGTTATAGCTTAAATTAGTTAATAAACGTTTCTAGAATGAGAGCTCTGCTTGAAGTTCCCAACCCCCCAAAAAATAATTCCAACTTCGCCTGGAGGGAGGAATAAGGGTTTTACCCCAGAAGAGACAGAATTGTGATCTGAAATGATCCTGTATATTGTCTGAGCATCAGAGAGAGCTGGATGTGCTGATCAGCATTTTCTGGTTCCTTTCTGCTCATGTTTTTCTTATTAAAATCGGCTTCTGTGGCCCCAAAATCTATTTGTTTTCTTACCTAAAGAAAAAGCTTTCCCAACATCTGTTTTGTCCGTAATGGAAGGCTGATCATGATTTCCGAAAGGCACTCTCAAATCAGTGATCACTCATGGTTTCCACAGACTTGGATTGCTCCCTGCCAGACTTCCTAAGGAGAAGCAGATTCATTGCAGAATGGAGAAAAATACTTTAGGAAGGTGGGACCGCAGCATTGTAACGGAGTGAACATTTTAAACTGTGTCGACTTGTGCCGTGGGACACCAGATTACAGGCATTAGTCCAAGAGTGAAAAGCACAAAAGCTGAACACTGCAGGAGATTGATACCTTCTCTGACAAGGTATAATAATCATTGTGGAAATAGAAACAAAGTGCAGCAGAGCTTTATTCACTTGCCTTCAAAACAAAGGAAAAGAGAATGAGGGTTTGTCCCACATTGCCATCAATACTGTCCTGGATCCAAATGATAGGCAATGTTGTGGCGGCAGGTTTCTTCTTCATGCTGTCATTTGCAATGGGAAGTGTAATAGGCTCAGAACTTGTGTTGACTCCAACTTTGAATCTCAATCTACTTAACAACATAACACATCACAGCTGCACTCTGAAGGCCTGAAACTCAAGATGTTCATAGGTTTAAGACAATTGTCTTAAAGTTTATGGTTGTGCAGACTTTTGGAAAACGATGTTAAAGTTTCCACAGTGCCGAAAAAGTCTGGATTTCAGAATGGAGATTGTTTTCCGAATTCTGCACAATATTACATTTTAAGATTAAGATAATGAGAAATTTTAGCTCCTGAAATCCATTACATTACTTTGTTAACCCTTCACTGAGAGAAATGTGCAATCTGCCATTTTATTAACTATCATCTTGTGCGGGAGGCTGCCTGAACGATTATAGTTTTGATAGTTGTGGGTTTACGTGAGGGGGATATTTGCATACTGAGGAGAATGAATGCAATAGGCCTTTTCTCATTGCTTAGTTTAAGTGTCTTCAGTTCCCAGGATTATTTTTTCCATTCTGCATTTATGAACCGTGTCAGTCTTGTTAGCTATGGATTCTTTTCAGCTGTTTGACAGCAGTGCTTTCTGTCACTGGATTGACTTATAAAAGTGTGGATGAGAGATGTACGTTAAGTTTATCTCTTTCTGTGTTTGTTTTTTGATGGTTTATTTTAACTCTGTTTTTTTCTTTTCAATCTACAAAGGGGAAGATATTGGCTTTGTAGCCAGTGAAATTACAATGAGTGACGAGGACCGCATTCAGCTAATGATGATGGTGAAAGACAAGACAATAACCATAGAAGAGGCACTTGCTAAGGTGAGTTTGTAAGACATATGAACACAACCCAGGATTTGTTAGCAAATGTTTGGTTGACTGTAATGAACTCAAATGAGAATTCCTGGTCAGAGTTGTTATTGAACAGCACCAGTTGACTTGCTCGTGGCGGTGGGCTGATTTCAGATACATTGAAGCAAAGAAATGTTCCTGCTCATTTTGTTTTTTGAATGGTTTGTATTAATTGCTACTGTTGCTATTTTTATTGCTGAAAAAAATATCTAAATGTAGCAGGGGCTGTACCCTTCCCCTCAGAAAAAAAATCAGTTCATATTATTTTCTAATTCTAAAGTTGGCAACAGTAGGGCTTTCCCACGAGCGAGGCTTTTCCACCATAGGAACATAGGAACAGGAGTAGGCCATTCAGCCCCTTGAGCCTGTTCTGCCATTCTTCTAAATCATGGCTGATCTGTACCTCAACTTCATTCAGCAGCCTTTGTTTGCTCCGTACCCCTTGATACCCTCAGTGAAGCTTTGCACGAATGAGACTTTTCTACTAGTGAGGCTTTCACACTCACTGTGTGAGAAAAAGAAAATGTGATGCACTTCAATTCCTTTGAGAAAAACAGGGATCTGGTATCTGATTGGTCTCTGATGACTGACTCCTGACAGATAGTACTAATAGGTGGTGAGGGAGGGAATGTTGGATGAAGAGGACATTATTCATCTCAACCATGATTGTCTTCCCGTTCCCCCCTTCCCCACAGATGAACAATCTGCCCATTTCACGTGACACACACCCCTGGCTTGAGCTTATCTTTAAGAATGAATTAACCAGCTCCCCACATTCCCAGCATTGTGCAACTGGGCCCAACCTCAGTGTGGAGCCGCACACCCAGTGCTGTATGGAAATCCCTGATAGAGTCGGGAAAGGAATGCAGTCTTTATTATGTGAGACACCTTGTGGCTAACAAGTGAACCTCTGTACTTGCGAGTGGAAAAGTACTGTGTTTGACTATGTGAATATTGCATTCCAGTCGATTGCGATCTTAAGCCACGTGAACACACAACCCAGGATTTGTTAAAAAATGTTTGCTTGACCGTGATGTGTTCAGATGAAAATTCCAGGTCAGAGTTGTCATTGAGCAGCACCAGCTGTATTGCTCCTGGCTATTGGTCAAGCCTCTCATGGCCCATTCAGCTTCCAGCACTACCTTTAGGTGCAGCTTGGCCTTCGGGCTCTGCGCTGTAACCCTGGGTTTGTACTGAGGGTCTACTAGCGTTAGGTCTCTTGTAACTTGGGCCAACTTGTGCCGAAATGTGATAACTATTGTGAGGCACCATAGTACTAGATGCCTCCTCCGCAACCCTTCTCCCAGTGTCTGAACAGTCTGTGGTGATGGGTTTTTTGTTCACAATACAATCTCACAACTATAGTGGGAAAAAAAGCCCATGAGTGAAAAACAAATTCTCCCACTCGGGAAGCAGGCATTTCTAGCTGGTATGATGATGGTGTTTGTGGTGGTGGGCCTTCTCTTTGAACCACCATAGACTTTCTGGGGATGGTGCCCGCACAATGGAATGTGGTGCAGGATTTTAACCCAACAAAGATGAAGCTTTAGCATTGCTCCCCCACCCCCCATGCTCCAACCCAGTTGCTGCTGTCTAAATATCAGTAGTGAAGATGTGAAAACCAGCTGGAAAATCTGAAATAAAAACAGGAAATGCTAGAAATGCATAGCAGGTCAATGAGGATCTCAAGGAGGATCTCAAGGAGATTTAGATAGCAAGGAGCATTCAGGCTATTTGGTGGATATCGCCCACATGTTTAAATATAAATATTGTATCTGCAAAAAACGTCTTTACAGCAGACTCAAGAGTATCTCATTTCCTCTGACTTTGTGTTTTTATTTATATTGGAATTTTCCACAAACATAATGTACAGCTGAGTGAATTATTTGCCCATAAATATCTTCTTTGCACTATGAGTTAAAAACAAAGGTGTTTATCTTTCCCTTCTTGCAATTCAACATGACATTTTTGTCATATAGCTGGCCTCACATAAGCATGTAAGTACACAGTATGGGTAAGAATCGATTTAAGTGATTTCCATGTAATGAACAACCACTTGATGCAGATGCCTCTAAACATAGTTAGTTACAATGTGTTTAAGAAAAAAACGATGCATACATTGATGAAGAAGGGAATAGAGAGGAATTGGTGAGGGGAATAGAAGTGGTTCATGTGGAGCATAAGCCTTGGCCTGGTCTAGTCAGGCCAAATGGCCTGTTTTCATGCTATATTACTCTGTTAAACTATGTAACCCCATAGGGCCAGTGTTCCCTGGGGCCAGTGTTCTGTAAGACAACATACAGTTATTAGTATTTATGTAGATTCCTACTAAAGAAAGAATTTTACGTTATTTCAGCAGCAGATTTATTCCAAAGATAGGAACATACTTAAACAAGAACAGGAGGAGGATGTTGACTCTGTTCCACTAGTTTGTTAGATCACAAGATTGGTTTAGATGAAGAAGGCCCATCCGATCTCATCCTTTCAGAACACTCACCCTAAGTTTCGCCCACAAAATATACAGTCAATTGATTTTACAGTATATTCTGTGAAGTGCTTTGAGACGTCTCGAAGACGTAATAAGGCGCTGTATCAAATGCACAGATTATTGTTATTATATTACTGTTGTTACATTGCAGCATCAAGCTACTTTTTTAAATATCCAGTGCCCTGGCCTCAACCACCCTTCCTGGCAACCTATTCCAGTCATTAATTACCCTCTGGGTAAAGAAATGATCACCTTGGTAGATTTATGAACCTCACTGCTCTGCCCCTTCACCAACCAATTAATACCTCTACCATACAGGTATCTGACCATCTCTTTTTTAAACATCCAAATTTGACCTATTTTGCAGCTGAAAGAATACGAGTGTCACAACAAGCATTCCAGCAGCGTGGACTCAGGAGACTGGGCAGGTGGAACCAACCTGCCTTTAGATGAGTCCTCTAATTGTAACGTAAGTGGAGCATCTTTCCTGCTATTGAACTCCATGTCCAAGGAGTTAAATTGTCCCAAAGGGTTTAAGCTTATAAATAATATAAGGTAGGCTCTGCATCTCAGAACATAAGTTAGGGGGAAAAAAAACTTTTTGACCAATCAAAGGTCATCCCTCCAATACATTAACTCTCCCCACAGGACATGTAACTGTGTTAACTTCAGAGCATTTGACTCTGTTGGTTGTGAAAACGGCTATTCAAATGCAAGTTGTTGGTAAATTGGCTCAAACATTTATCGTTCTGTTAACAAAAAGAGTTTTCCCTCATATCTGTTCCAAATGTATTTGTCACTGAAGTAAGTTTAAAGCAGATACAAGAAACAAATGTAAGGCCAAGAGGAGTGGGATTATTTAGCTACAAGTGAGAATCGATGTCCATTTGCAAAATGTGTAAATGAGCTAAGCCAGTGAGTGCCATAGTGAGGTGTAATTTGCATATTGGGTTAACCATGTACAAACATATGCAGATTCCCTTAATTATATATCAAATAGATCAAATTGGTTATTCACTTCATAGCTGTTTGCAGGATGCTGCTGTGCCCAAATTGGCTGCCGTGTTCACCTGCAAACAGTCACTCCACTCCTGTGAGCGCTTTGAAACATTCTGACAAAGTGATAAGCATTGTATCAAATGCAAGAATTATTATTATTTAACAAACTGATGTGAAGGTTTACAGAGCAATTTGGGATCCTTTTCACTGAATATGATTTACATAATTTAGGGGCACCATAATTTCCTTGGTGCACAATATGTTTGTGTATGGTTAATTTTGTCTACAGTTTGTTACTCCAACCAGCAAATTTAGACACCAGTGAAAAGATGGTGGGTATCATCTGAAATGGTGGAATACATGCTGCATACCTCGAACCATTCACCTGAGCCAAGAGCACAACTAAGTAGTCGTAAAAGGTAGTTACAGCATATTTGCTAGTCTTTCCCGCTGTTGCAAAAGGTCCATTAATGTCACCTCCATTCCCAGCCATCAGACCGGGTTGGGTGCCTCACTGAATGTAATATTGCACTGAGCTAGGACGAGTGGGGGGGACCCGTCACAGGCAGAGTCATTGAATTACATTTCAATAATTGGTTGTCTGGTTTCCACTCCAAGCTCTGGGCAAGACAACCAGAAAAGGAATTTGGGAAGGCACTTAAAGCAGAGCAGCTAATAGGAGCAGCAACTTCAAATTCAGCTAGAACAGAACCAAGGGACATGAACTGCAGAAAGATCTTTTTTGAGTTTGGGAATTTGCTTCTGCTAGTGGCATTCGCTGAACAGAAATATCAGAGGAGTATACAAGGAAAACTTAGAAAATGATTATAAAAAAATACACACCAGTTCCGGAGTGGATGAATGTTGAAAGGAATTTATCTGATTATTGGGTTATGCGTGAATGGTCTATTATTTACTGTGCAGTTGTCAATATTTGCAATACTTGTGAAAAACGAATCAACTTTTCGATTAATGCATAAATTCTTTAAGAAATCCCATTGAAAAAATACCACAAGTTAGACCCATGGGAACTCTGCTTCGAAAGTAGATGGATCCACATAGATCAAGGTGATGTATTTTCAGTTCCTGGAAGGAGGGCCCATTTGCATGGCTCATATTTAATATTAATATTTAATATTGGGCTGAGTTCACTGATGTCAGTCACTTAGAGATGGCAATAGTTTGGAGGCATTGAAAATAATTTTTGTCCCTGACCAAGGTGTGGAGACAGATCAGCCTGTGTTCTGCTTGTGATTACTATCCAGTGATTTCTTCTCATCACACTCCCTCCTGTATACCTCTTCCCCACTCTCCATTGCAAAGTGTGCTAGCGCACAGGTATGTGTGGATGTCAGGTATGGACAGGAGCGGCTCAGTTATGACGGCTTTCATTGTTAAATGCTCATTAGGGTTAGCCTTCCCCAGTGTGTTTGTTAGCCTTCCCCAGTGTCTGTGTTAGCCTTCCCCAACATGAATCAACATGAATTAGGAGAGGAGAAAATTGAAGGGGAGGAATTAACTTTGACGAGTGAAAACATTTTTCTTCATCTCCAATTTTAACCATCCAAGGAATTTTGGCAACATCTAGGAGTAAGGATCAGCTCAGTCAGTATCTGACTGAACTCGACCCTGAATCCTGCCAGAATTCTTGTTCAAAATATTCCAAGATACGGGTTTTAAATAGTTTTATGTCTGTGTTTCCCTGGTTACAGCTTTGCGATGTAATGATACAAAATCTATCTGCCACCATTGGCCAGCATTCACACTATAGTTTCCATTTTCTTTTCCTTACTGCAATGTCAGTCAGGTCATTGAGCCACTTGTCATTCCAGCTAATGGCATGTCTAGCAGTGACAGCTACCAAAGCAATTTTTATACTGTTAAAAATTGAAAGCATTTCTCTCTCTTGCTCTCTGGTTTCCTTTCTCTAACTGTTTATATATTCCCAACCCACCCCCAGCACCACCATTATTCTGGACATGTCTGCAGCCTACGTTGTGTTCTTCAGTGCCTTGGGACATCCTCCTGACATGAAATGTGTTATATTAATGTAATTTTGTTGTTGTTGACTGTCTTACTTGACTATGGACTAGTAATTATTTCAGAGTGCTTCATCTTTTTGGCACCCTTCGTTTACCAGCAAGTGAGCCCTGATCCGATAGGGATCCAATACATCTCTTCGGTCCCTCCTCCTGTGTCAAGATCCAGTGCCATTTAGGAAAGACATTGAACGGAGGAGTGGGGGATATCTTCTATCCTATGGCTGCTATGCATCCTGGAAAAGTAGCTCTTCTGTAAGTTAAACATCTGGCATAAAGATACAGCAGTTTTGGCACCAAATGTGCAGAGTTTGCTTATCCTCCAGGCCTTGAATGTATCTACCTCAACCAATCGAGAAACAAAAATAAGCTGTGCTCTAGTCAAAATTTACGTGTGCAAACCAAGAAGACACATTTTGCATTTATTCATTGAAAGGGACAGACATAATATTGCGCAAAATATGCTTCATGTCAGATTATTATGGAACCATGTTGTCAGTAATTTACCTAGAGAATGTAGCAGCAGTTGATTTGGGGAAAAAAACATTCCAGCAGGTTTTGTCGTGCATTGGAGTATGGGTCATCACTGTGCATGATTTGGGCTGCCACATTCATCTACAAATACGCAGTCATTCAGTTTGCAGTTTATCCTGTGCAGCTCTTTGGAACGTCCTCCCAGTGTGAAGGCGCTATACCAAATGTAAGGATTATTATTATTATTTCCCATGGATCATTTGTTTGTTGGAACAATGTTTTCTCTGGAAAAAATGTTTTACAGTTTTAAAAATTAGAGAACCTGGAACACTAAAAGACCATTAGACCCATCAAGTCGACTCCTCCACAACTCATCCGCAGCCACTCTCATTTTCTCACAGATCCTATAACTTGAAGGTCCCTGTACACTCCTGCATACTATTTAAGGTCTATAAATTTAATGAATAATAATGTCATCTCTCTTGTTCCCCATATATTGTTCTATCTATAAACAGGTCCTATCATTTGAATAGTGGCATAAATCGGTTACAATAAAACAAAAATAATTATCAATAAATCCACTCAACTGTTTCCATCCTATAAAAATAAACCTCCGAAAATGTGGCACGAAAAAAAATGCTGTGTGTCTCTGGTTGGATGCAACAGTGTAGTTTAAATGGATTACATTTCATGTGTTGTAATACTCTACTGGGGGTACTTATGGTGCTTTGAGAAGGAAGGAATGAGATTGAGAATTGTTTGAATTTTGCAGTTCCCTCAAAGGGAGGGCAAAGAAAAAAATTCTTCCATATAATCCAAGATAACAAAGAATTGTTAGCATTGAATGTAGATGAAGATGTACAATATAACCATTTATGTCTACCATTTTTATCTTCAAGTTACAATATTCTGCCCCTCTTGTATTGGGTGAGACAAGTGCAATAACATAAAGCAGGATGCATCGTAAATGTTTCCTGTGTGATTTTTTTTAAGGAAAAGGGTGCAGTGATTTCACTTGATGAGATTCTAGGTAGAAGGTCAATGCCTACATAGCAGGACCACCAAGCTTGAAAGGAGTAGGAGGGAAGCTAAGATAAAGCAAAAATTAGAAGTTAGCAATGCTAAGCTTCAGTAGGTATGTATAAGCACTGGAATGGTACGTCTGTTGATTCTTTGCCAAAACTGTATAACCAAAATATATTCACATCTGGTTATTTCACGTAGTGNAAAAAAACTGATGTTGTATGAGATATTGTGAACAACTACTTATGCTGGAAATCTGAAGCAAAAACAGAAGTCGCTGGGAACACTCAGCAGGTCAGGCAGCATCTATGGAGAAAGGAAAGTAAGTCAATGTTTCGGGTCCACGACTTGAATTTTCTGACGAAGGGTTGTGGACCCGAAACGTTGACTCACTTTCCTTTCTCCATAGATGCTGCCTGACCTGTTGAGTGTTCCCAACGAGTTCTGTTTTTGTTACTTATTGAGAGGACCTAGGTTCGATTTCCAGTGGCGCAAAACGTTGGGCAAGTTTCCTTACTCCACACACCTCTGTTTACCGAGCAGTAAGTAGGAACCCAGTTGTTAGTCGATTGGCAAATCGCTTTTCTGGGGGTAATAATTCCTTCAAAATAAATTAAAATAATTTGGTCACTCAATCCACAACACTGTTTGTGGGAAACTGCTGTGCGCAATTGACTCCCGTGTTTTGCCCACAAAATTTACAATCAATTCCCTTTACAGTATATTCTGTGAAGTATTTTGAGGCATCTCAAAGACGTGATAAGGCGCTATATCAAATGCAAGGATTATTATTATTTATATATCTTATGCTCAGTGGAGCTAGGGAGACCAGTGAGGAGTGCATTAGAATCCCACAGGAGTTGATATATAAGAGATATATGAATAATAATAACTTAGGCATTCATCTGCAAATGCACAGTCACTAGACATTACAGTATTACCCTGTGAAGTACTATGAGACGTCCTCCTGATGCAAAAGACACTATACGAAATGCAAGGATGATTATTACTAATTTGACAGGTGATTTAGAGTGGGATTGATGGCGACTTGGGAACAAGTTGTCAAGCTCTCTGCGCCAGGGATAGTGGACTGTGTGGGGAAATCCAGTGCCTCAATGGAAAAAAACATTTAAAAGAAAATTGAGTTTTAGACTCCTAAATAAATAAACCAAAGTGGGTTACATTAAAATCCATGCAGAGTAGGTGATGCAGTCCTCATATGATTACTCCTTATGTTGCTTTATTATCCAGTTTGGATTCTAAATTTACACAAATATCTCCAGATGAGAAATGCTAGAAAAATGATGCTCTTTGTGGATCTATTATAGCCTTTTGAAGAGTGAAAGTCTGGTTTGACTTTGCTCTTTTATGAATAATTAATCCCAACAAATAGTTTATTACTAACTTCTCTGTACAATAAACATTTCTTGTTATAATTATTATGATTTTCTATAGGTCAGCTTAAACTGTATGCAAAGTCATGACCTTATGCTAATGCTCACTTGGTTTCTGCTGCTGTAAACTGCGGAGACAGTTGTTTGTGATAAATGTGTTGCCATGGACACTGGATCATTATAGCTTTGGCATTTACTCAATATTGGGGCATATGGTAGCCATATGATTGCTTTTATTTGTAGTGATGGTGAAGATTTAGTTGTAGATTAGTGTTAATGGATTGAAAGTATATTTTGCCGAATATAAGAAGGTGAATGAATGGCAAAATGTATTAACAAACACGGCTTCAAAACACAGGAGGAATGTTTCTCAGGCATTACGACCACTTAGTTAGAAAACATTGGTAAAACAACCCAATTAATGGACATTGGAACAGACATGATTTTCCTTTGAACAGCTGTGATTCAGAGACCAATGACTCAAAGGCAGTCCTGCAGCAATAAGTGATCTCATGATGTAACAAGAAAGGATTGAGGGCAACATTGCAAAGAATGGGGATGTCATGGGGGTTTAGATGCATTGACCTCAATGATTTATAACTATCATCTCTGGTTTGTCAAGAAATGACAGAACTGGCGACGTACACCAATATCAGGGAAAGAAACCCTTAGCAGATGCTTTTGTGGTGAAATACTGGAATTTGTACAGTAAAAGTTTGGACTTGTCAGGGCTCCTTCAGTGAGAGGCTGCTGGCTCTGCTACCAATGTTAGCTTAACATTGTGCTGTCCATCCCGTGAGCTCCAGCAAGTATTGAAGGGGAGGCTGTAGTCTGATTACTTGAACTTGACTACACATCAGTGTAAATTGATCGTGGGCAAATAGTACTTTCACAGTTTTCTGGCTAAACAAATGCAATGGGAACATGCACTAAATTAATTCATAGCTGAGACCAGCCCCAACAGACCATACCCTCTCCAGCAGTGGTTCAGTAATTCCCAGCAGAATCCACAGTAAAATTGGGACTTCCAACACAAAGCAAAAATGTTCACAAAACGATTAGCAGCAATCCAACATTCACATTCTCTATTGAATATAATATTCCCTTAGCCCAGTGATCTGTTCTTTCTGTTTCCCTGCATCTGCATAATGTACTACATAGTTTACTGTTCTGTGTACTTCTCACGGAAATCATATGGTCAAATTCTCAACAAGGCAATTTTATAAATGGGTGTGAATTAATCGCAGGGAAATAGTTCTCTTACTAGTTTTTCTGGCATTCCCCCAATTCTCTCCTTCATTTTGCCCCCAAACAAGGAACTGTATTGTAAAATTCAGTACAAGGCATACCATTAGGAAGGATTGTTTATGCTCTGTGCACTTGTGTAATCTTTTGCTATTCAGTCACATGGAGATCCATCCTGCCGAGCATTCCTGTGCACCATTTTACAATTCAGAGGTTTCTGCCCTCGCTGCACTTCAATGATTAAAATTAGTCTTTTCACTTCACATACTTGTGGAGCTTCAGAAATATTTGCAACATTACAAATTTGTTTACTGCATCTGTTTTTAGATGGATTCGCCACATATTTTCAGCTCTGGAATTTGCAAGTCTCCACCCTATCGACAGTAAAGCGTTCTGACATCCTTAGCACATCTATGGCTGCATTGCTTGAGAGGTCTATCCTGTCCTGTCCTCCTAGTGCTGCTTACACAATTTATTGTTGTCGCAAAAGCAATTGTGCCAAATTGGCTTAAATCTTCTCTGGAACAATTTGGCTAAGCTAGGTAGACGGCAATTTGCATAAATGGGAGAAATTGTTACATAATTGAAAATTTGCAGATGTATGCCATGATAGTGATTACATTTACAATGGAACTCGCAAGCTGAAAGCACATACATTTCTAGGAAAGGAATCGTTCTATGGAGTGCCAGAAATGTACATATTCCTCTATCAAAAGATTAGTCATCCAAGATTTGAGAGTCCTGAGAGTGAATACTTAAATATTAAAATTGATGTCTCTGGAGCATATATCCTTGTAGTTATTGATGCTAAAAAACATAAAAGGGTTTTAACATTACGATAAATATCCAGTTTCCACAATTCAGCTAATTCTGAATAAGAAAGTAACTATCTAGGTGGCCCTGATGTGGCCATGAGGAAGTTGTTGTAATTCTTGCTCAAGGTTGTTCTGCGGTGGTACTAGAAATAAAAAGTGTTCAACAATGGAATATGATATGCAGCAAAAGTTACATTTTTATTTTGGACAAATGCCTTGTGTCTGCATTTACTCCAGCAGTAACTGTAACGTAGAATACAGCAATAATAGTGATTCATGCTGTTTTTCTGACATGCTACAATTTGTGGTTCCACCCACACTATTTTCTTGGACAGGGTGGACATGAATTTGGGAATCGCCATTCATTGCAAAACTATTGCAGGATGATATCATGATATTTGGACTTTGTCAAATGAAAAATATTTAATTGCTTTTCTTTTCTTAGGGTGAAAGAGGTGTGTGTAAATCCAATGTCAAACTTCCATTAGAAATTTAAATTCTCCAGAAAATAAATGATTCATGAGGAATTCAGTCAACAACAAAGCTATTCTCCCACGCACATGAATGATTCCAACTGCGTGACACTGTTAAGTCTTCACCCGTGTTCATGTCTTCATATTTAGTATGTGAGGTGGTTGGAATTGCATGGTTTTATTGATATATATATTTTGAACTTAAGCAATACCATACAGATTTATAATATTCAACTCATCTAAATTCACTTTAATGTTTGACCCTCCCTCCCATCATTGGGATGTTAGAAATGTGTCATCGCTTCATGCGTTAAGATTCCAATTTAGTGTATACCTGCTGGGCTGTTGTATGTGTTTTCGGCATTTCATGGACATTAAAGAGTTATCAGCTACAAGAGTGTTGTGGTGCATTTAGTTTGTACCTCCAGCGGCAAGAAAAGCAGCTCAGTAGAGCAGCACTAACAGTTGCTGCTACAATCCCTGTTGCTAGTTGTGGCAGCTGTGACCTCCCTGCCATGCACACAAGTGGGCAGCGGTGCCTCTGCGTGAAGAGGATTATCAACAGCTGGCACTTGACCTTTGTTATAGAGCCCGGCTTACTGTACAGTTGGTGCTAAGGTCTGCAGCGTGTGCCTGGTTAAAGGCCATGTTTGGGCTATGAGGAATGCTGTCCATTGTCAGGTCCTCCATCTGGGTATCTCTTACCATTGCTGCCTCAAGCTAAAAGTGCCATTAAAGTACCAGAGGACTTTGTTTCACACATCAATAAACAACTTCTCAAAAGGAACAAGACTATTCTGGGTCACCAGCTGGAGAGTTATTGTGCAGCAAAAGGGTATGGGCTTTAATGTCCCTTAAAGGAACAAGATCTCAAAGAGCTGCATGGATTGAGAGGACTTTAGTCAAAGTCTGATCTTTTAATGCCCATACTATACGAGATCTAAGGATCTTCAGGGCCAACAACAACTTGCATTTATATAGTGGCTTTCATGTAAGAAAATGTCTCAAAATGTAGTGATGCAGAGAAATAAATCTCTGTGACCAAGCCAGGATTAAAGGTGGACAGAGCCGCTGATTCTGTTTAAGCTTGCAATGCAGCTTTGTTGTGAGGACTATTGAGAACATGGTTAGCATTGAGATAGGTTTCTACAAAAGCAAAACATATCTTGACAACTCTCCCCGTCTGTTCCCACTTTAGTCGCGGGAACAGTCTGACGATGAAATCGAAGAGGTGGCGAAGTTTGGGAGGCTGCACAAGTTGGTTTCCTCAAAGCGCAGAGTGAAAAAGAAGTTAATTAAAGTAGAGGAAGTCAAGATTTTATCTGCTGAAGGTGAGCAGGGGGTAACATTGTTTCACTACACAAATGGGGGAACCATTGAGCCCAGTGTGCCTGTCATGTGCTAGATTCCCAATTTGCCTTTTTTCCTGCCCCTTCTCTTGAAGACTTTGAATCTCATTGGCGTAGTTTCATGGGTACCTGGGACCATCTCGTAGCCACCCATCATGTCTGAGCTGAGATAGCAAATGCTGTCAGACTATTCAATCAGCAAAGGCGTCAGAGCTTAGCTTGTCTCCTCTACAGCAAAGGGTGTTGATACCAGTTGGAGCACCCAGAGTGCTGCCCTAGTTGATCAGTTAACATAGCACAGATTAGTCATTGAACTTGATATCTTATGATCCAAACCGCCCAACCACTAAATCGACAGTAGCATTGCCCACTATGTCATGGGAAGGGGAGAAAGCAGGAGTTTATTTTAATAGAGGATCAAGATCCTGTAGATAAATTATTTTTCCAAGTTGTTTCCTTCAACAGAGCAAATACAATCAGTTTGTTGGTTCTTTTCTATAATGACTGACAGCAAATTAGTCTCATCAACTGATGTTGCATTATAGGAGCATCAAGATTGCTTGTCTTATCTATGATCTCATTAGCACTCATATGCCCTTCCATATTTCAAAGGCCTGTTAAAGTAACCATCATCAATTGTGTTCTACTACTCCCAAGTTAACTACTTTCAGTAGCACCATTGCACAGTACACAACTGAATGGACTGGGGCAATAGTACACAGCTTCTTTATCTTTGCGGTTCTAAATGCCAAGCCAATTGCCAGAGAGTGAACCATGGGACTGTCTCCCAACCCGAGTCAGCACCTTCAATGATAAAACAGCGAAATAGTTCCACAACTTCTAGTTTTCCTTCACTATCACTGACTCAAACAGAAATTTAAGAAGGTATCTTGAGCAAATCTAGATTCATTATGCTAATGCCAACTTTACTGATCCTGTGATATCATTGAGGATAACTAATCAGCCCAGCTATTAATGCTCCTCATTAATTACAAGCCTCTTTCAGACATTGGCTGAATGTGATCACAGACTTGTTTGCAATTCAACCAGTTTTCAGATGGAATGGCACAGAGGTGCACTTGTTTAAGAACTAATTCAGAGTTTAATAATTCGTTCAAATATTTACTCCAAATTGAGTTAGTGTAAGAGAGCAGAAGTCAGCAGTGACAGGATGAAAGCGCCACTGTCCATGTTGCGTTTGATTACTGCGGGTGGAATATTTTGGTGCAGCTCATTTTTAGAAATCTGTATACTTTTTCCTTGTACCGATAACATTCCTGCACTAACACTTCATTCACCATCTCTGCAGTTGGTTCAGAAGCAGTAGATTCTCTTTTTAAGATAAATCTTCTTTCTCTTCCCCTTTCTCCCTCCCTCCCTCCCTTCCTGATTTAGAAGATGCATGTGAAGGAATACACAAACTGATGAGCTCTCCCTGTGACAAAAGATCTGTGAATTATTTAGGATCAGGAACCCTCAGAAAGCAGCTGTATTTGGACGAGACGTTACAGAGACAGTGCCAGGGTGACCCCTCACCCTTTGAGACCATCACCCCATCGCCGTCTTCCAGCAGCCTTGACGCATGGACCGAGAGGAAGCTGGTGAAGACCTTTCACATGACAGGGAATCATACCCTTGTACGACCGCCAAAGAAAGCGGGGAAAGGGTCCTCTTGCTCTGAGCGCAGTGAGGAAAAACCACTAAAGGTGTCTCGCTCTATGACTGATAGTGAAATGAAAAAGGCCCTCCATTCACAGAACCACGCGGTAAGTAGTGCAAACCTTTCATTTTATGACAGCGGTAAACAAAAGCGCAACTTTTTACTGTCACTGGAGGAGCTGCAGCAAAGACAAATGCAGCTGAAAAAGACGGACCCTAATTATTCTTATTCCCAAAACGCTTTATACCAGCATGTTAGTGGGAAAGGATCTTCGTGCACTCGTCAGCTGCAGAGAGATAAAACTCAGAGGGCTGATTATAGCTTCCCAAATAGAAGGTTGAAGGGTCAAAGAGGTGTCAGTGAATTTAACATCACCTATGTTGTCGAAAAGAGTCTGTACGGCCATTTAAATTGGTCCCAACTAGTGCGTCCCGTCACTGACCGATCCCTCAACAAAGCCGACAAGCAGGACCTGCGGCAGTGCCTACTGGAAGAGGAGGAAGAGGAGGAGGAGGAGGAGGCGGAGGTGAAGTGGGCTGCAACTGTAGACCGCTGCACCAAAAGGGTGCTCGTGAGAATCCAGCAGAAGTCTGTGAGTTAATAACATCAACAGCTTGGCCCTCCATTTCTTGTGAGATTTCGGCCTCAGTGCGCCCGTTCCCGGGCTCTCCATTCAAGCCTTTAATTCATGTCCGGCATTGAGAAGGGCATTTGCGTATTTAAGCACTGGTCAGATCATTAAAGGGCGATGCTGGTCTGAAAATTCACCAATTGCTTTCTTGACGAATACTCCAGTATTCTGAATCCAGCCTATAATCTACAAGAAATTCAAGGCCTTCAGTATATTCAGTGAAAGTGGTTGTGCGTCTCATACAACAAAACGCCATTTGTCTGCATATCAGTTTATTTTCCTGCACAATTTATACAAGAGCATGTACTCATTCATCTTTGCAAAAGTGTTTTCAATCTGTGTTGCAATTCCATGACCATCCACAGTGAGGGTTTTGTTTTTGAAGGACAAGTGTTTTAGATCATATCTGTACATTATTTTCACCAATAATAATCCTTGCATTTGATATAGAATCTCTAACTGAGAAACGTGTCATAGTCGCTTCACAAAGTTTCCTGCGAAATATAGTGAGTGTGTATTTATAGACTAACATAGCTGCAAATTAGAGGAAAGGGATGCATGTAGATCTATGTCTCAGCTTCTGCTTAATGTCTGAGCACGAGAGGAGTAGTTGCCAAAGAAAGAGAGTCTTTGCTGTGCTTTGCCTGCTATGAGATTGAATTCAATGAGAACCAACATGCCTTTCACTGCACATGCTCTCTGCCCTTCATTGCACAGGAACAGAAATGAATGACAGATATTGAAAATAATTAAGCAGCCAAATGGGATCATCCCATTTTATTTTTGTCAATATTCTGCATTTTCTGTAAGACCTCTCTCCTGGAGGCTTTGATTCTTTGCCGTGTCAGTGTCCCAGTAATTATCCAATACCTTCCACAAGTGGCTATGAATTTGCCTCATGGGGCGGGATAGGAGGAGAAAGGACTTGTGTAATAAAATTACACTGGAAACAGTTTCCTCAATGACTTAACAAGTAAAGGCAATGTTCATTGCCTTTGAATGGCACTGAACATTGCCTTTACTTGTTAAGTCATTGAGGAAATTGTTTCCAGTGTAATTTTATACCAACGGACTAAAATTGTCGATTTGCACCATTTCACGTAGCGTTACATGAGAACTTTCCAAGTACAGTGTGGATCACGCAACAGAGTGGTAAGAGGGCTGAACAATCTGCAGGTGTATATCTCTTCCATTTACAGCCTGTCTCTGTTTGCCAGGTAGCACAGGGAGTGCCAGCAGCATACTTTTCTTCCAGCTCACCCTGAAGCCTGAATTGGTTGTCTGTCTGGGATGAAGCACCAGTAAGAGAAATGAATGTACATTTTTTCAAACCAAATCAATTCACATCTTTTTTTTCAAAAGGCTGCAGGGTGTCAAATCATTGACCTGCAAGGGGGAAAATATCCTTTTACCTAAACAGCCTTTTTAAAAAAATAAAATGTTGTATACAAGTATTAAAAGTGCTGTTTGTAAATTTTGTCATGAAAAGGTTCTGTGGTATAAGCCAAAGCTGGAACATGAACTTCAGATGTGTTTGCTCGCAGTCTTAAAACAAACACTGGACCAAATAACTTCTATTCTCACGTGTGCAGGGCTCTGGCTCTATCAGTTTTAAGCAGTGAAGAGGGAAGGAGATTATAAAGTAAATAAATAATCCTTGCATTTGATATACCACCTTATTATGTCATTGAGATGTCTTAAAGCACTTCACGGGATTTTATTGTGCAGTGTAGTGACTGCATTTATAGAATAACTCAGCAGCCAGTTTACAAACAACCATGATGTGAGCAACTGCTTACATCATGGTCCAACATAATTAACGTGATTAAGGAATTTAAAATGAAATTAAATATTACAGTGATTGATAGGGACTCTAAATAATTAACCTTTGCATCAAAACATCTCAAAGAGCTTCATAAGTAATTGCTGTAAAGTTAGTGTTTGTACATTTGCAGGTAATTAGAGCAGCACATTTGCAATGTCCAATAAACAGCTTTGAGTAGAATAATCATATTTTTTCTGGAGCATTATTGTCCAGGGTATTGGGAGAAACTATTTTCTCTTTTCAAATAGTGTCAAGGGATCTTTAACGTCCATCTGAACAAATAGACAGACCCTTGTTTTAACATCACATCTGAACCATTGTACCACCAATAATACAGCACTCCCCCAGCACTGCACTGGAATGTCAGCATGTCAGTATATGAGCCCCCAACTGTACGCAAAAGATGGAAGAACATTCCTGTCCAAGCAGTGACATCAGTAACATTTTGTTAACTAGAGAATCTTTCCTTGTGTGCAACCTAGTGGTCAGTTGAACAGTGCCATTGCCAAAACTAAAGAAGAGGTTACCTGTCGCTATTTTGGTTAGAACTTGTAGAACAAGAAACTACAAAGGGTTTCAATAAGAAATGAGACAAGTTCCTGAATATTAAAATCATTTATTGTTATTAAGCAATCAGATAGATGTGCCAAAATAATCTTTCGTGAATTTCGGTAGGTGGGTTCAAGGTAACAACTGTCTACTCCTGCCTAAAACTGTTCCTATGTAGGTTAGAAAGTGAAACGGTTTACCTCGAGTGAAACAGTTAAAAAGGAAACTGCTGCATTGAACACCAATTTCCTGAAGATGTCCTCTGCCCTCTGCTTTGAAAACCAGTCACTGCTGAGTTTTGCAGCAATGCAGAGCAGCTCAATATGTGAGTACACTTGCAGTTCCCAGGAATATAATATTTCATCAGTGTAGCTGGGCACTAAAAGTGGGACAATGTCCTGATTGCCCCTATTCTCCCATAAACTATTGGATGTCTGTTTATGTCTGGTGATTTAGAAGCTGAAATTTTACTCAGAGGTCTTAACTTCTTGTGTTAAAATTTCACACAAAATTGTGGAAAATTCTTAAATTCAGTCTTAATTTGAAAACTTTTTCTTTTTAAGAACTGTGAAAAACTGCTTCCAAATTAAGACTTTATTTAAAAATTGGTTGGATGTGTTGTTGAAAATTTACTTCCTTTATAAAATCTCGCAAATTAAACTCCCAACATAAGATGAATGACTAGCAGTGCTATACTATTTTTGGTACAGTGTTCTTTTGCAATATCTATTTATTTACAGTACTCTTACTCCTTTTCAAATCTAAACTATTAAAGCTTTGTGAAGTACTGTAACAATGCATTTTCAATAAATGTGGTTAAAAGTTGCCTATTATAAAATGGGATGGAGAGGGGGTGAAATGTGAGATAAATAGAGGCTACCATTGGGGTCTCAAGACCTAACTACCTCTTTGACCACACTTTTGGTCATCTTTCTCCTCCCAACACCCCTTGGCTTCCACCCCTAGCTCAGTTGCCAAACTCATATTGTTAATTCCTTTGGGACATTCTCCCAATGTGAAAGGTGTTTTGTAAATGTTCAATTTGTATTGTCTATATGTGACACCCGATTCCAACAATGAGACTGAAGTTGTAACTGTTATATCCAGTCAAGTTCACAGTCATATCAAGATACTGTGTGGCAACCCTAGCATGCAATAGAGAAGCCGTTTTAGTTACATTTTCATTCAGTTTGTTTAAGAATGCAGATACTGAGATCCTAACTTTATATTCATTCTTAACATAGAGAAGGTTGAGGAGTCTGTACTATTTGTGTGTTGGAATTGTTGGCAGTGAGTTTCAAAGTGATGCACAGGATTATTTTTGCTTATTATTTTTGAATTTTCATCGGTATTTTCATGTGGTGAAGTTTATTCAAGAATTTCATTGTGGGGAAAGTTTTGTCTTGCTACATGATTTAATCACAAGAGCTTGTCAGTTGCTGTCCACCATCCCATCCACAGCAGCAAACAGTAAAGATCAGTAAATAATCGTTGAAACAAACTTGCATTTTTATATTTGTCTTCTCACATCAAAACGTCTCCAAATGCTTCACAGGTACTTACTGGTTAAGTAGAGTCACTGTATATTTGTAACCACACCAACAACCATTTGTGCATAGCAAGGTTTCATAAATTACCCTGAAGTGAATTACCAATTTATCTGCCGGATTATAGACGAGGACAATGGAGGAATTCCCTCCTCTGTTTGAATAGTGCCTTGGAATTTTTAACATCCACCTGAAGAACAGGGAGGTGGGAAATTGGTTTAATATCTCATCCAAAGGACAGAACCTCTGACAATTCAGGGCACCCGTGAACTGGGCTGAGTGTTGGACTGGATCATGAGTTTAGGTCTCAACATGGGATTGAAACTCACAACTGTCTGACCAAGAGGCAAGAGGATTATCAACTATGCCAAGCTGACACGTGTTACACTAGAAGATGTTACAAAGAGCAGCATCCTCTGGATGTTGATGCGTTCCTGGGTTAAGGTGGCATTGATAATTGATTCAAAGTCATCTCAACAGCTGAATCACTTGATGTGTTAATCCCTTCAAACACAGACCTGCCTGTGTCAATACTATATCCAGTGTACTATATTGGAAAATAACAGTAAATCTTCTTCAGTGAATCTATTGAATGATAAAGAAGTATACAGGCAGCAGTGGCCCTTTGGCCCTTGCCAAAAACCAAATGAAGGATTACAACCATTTTTGCATCTATATTTTCAATGAAACATTCATCACACTGGTGTTATTTTTGTTTCTCAGTTCGCATTTGTAAACGTTCAATGTGATTTAGAATTGTGAATTAAAAAAATACAATTAAAATTAAAATTTGAATTGCTTTTATATACTCTGCTCAGAGAACATGTAGCTTTGGAGGGTTTGAACTGCCCGGTCGGATTCCTCACAACGGAAGTGCTGGTCCAGATAAAACCGTAAGTATTTCAAACTATTGCTCCAGAATACCATGCATTACCCGCCAGAAATAGAATGTATCAATAAGTAAGGCAGGGTCAGTGTCAAGATAATGGAGTCCAATATGCTCTGAGCATTAGTACTAGGAGTATATTCCACTAAGTGTTTACAACACGGAGACTTTATACTTTTAAAGACTGAGAGAAAAAAAGATTGCTGTCTTTAAGGCTTACTTTAAATTACTGTATATCGAGTTGTCATTTGATCCCACATAAAATGAAGTGGCCATTTTAGCCTATTGGGGTAAAATTTGCAGTCAGGATGATATTTATTACATCAAGTGTGCTGGAGCAGGCCCCCCCTGTGCCATTCATTCTGGTGAAGTATGGGAAGTGTGATCAGCATCAGCAGACAGATTGCAGTCTGCCACTACTGATGAATGGGATGTTATCTTTTTGGTAAACAAAAGCTCAAGAGGCCAGTATCCCAATAACCAGCAATCGAAGGTTGCAACAGCAAGTTGGTATTGCATTGACTTAGAACTGGCTTTTCAGACTTTACCATCGTATTTTCCTCTGGCACATTCAATGTGATAAATGACATGCAAGTCAAAAATATGATCCTATTGTATTTATGACTTTTTTTTACCCTATTGTGTCTATATTTACATGATAAATATAGCAATACTAGAACCAGGCAGTATTTTTTTATTCTAGGGCCTGACACCAATCAAGAACATATCTTTGATTTGCTATATATAATCCATCTCTCTCTTACGTGAAAAATGACATGACCAACTCAAATCCAGTCAGAAACCAGCCTTATTTCTCCTGCATCACGCTTGTAGTCTAAATGTTATTCTTAAATGTTTCATCTCTAACCTTTTGCATGTCTCTATTTGCATATCATCTATTTTATTGTCAAATGTTTATCTACAGCTCACTGTACATAAGCATTTTTCAATGTTAAAAACACTTTTTGGGGGTTAAATTGCTGTCTCTATACAATTTGTGATCAAACTGCATGCTCTTGAGCTTCAACCCACTCATTGAATTGTCTTGTCGGTACAGCTTCACGAAGACTGGATATATAGAGTAACTGATGAGAAATTGATCCCAAATCACTATCATTTTCAACTTTGTCGATCGATGCCTGTACCTTTCTATGGTTCCAGTGGTTCATGCTTGGGTACCTTACTACAACAACAACATAGCGCCCTCCATGTCAGGTGGATTCCCAGAGCGCTTTAATTAACTACACCAAAATGTAACTACTACTATATGCAATGAATATGTTTAGACCCTTTAAATCGTGTCAGTCACCCATATGTTGCTTGCTATGTTACTCACTTCATCAGTGATTCTTTTTTAGAAGTTGACTGCACTGCCCCATAATGTACCAATGACTAAGGCAGTGTTAAAATAATGGAGTCCAATGTACACTGATCACTAAAAATAATGGTATTTTTCACTAACTCTTTACAACAGGGACACTCTAAACTTTTAATACCCAAAGAGATTTTTTTTGTTTTTAGGGCTTAGCATAACATATTGTACATAGTGTTCCGGGACGCTACCCAGTGTGAAGCTATATAAATTAAGTTGTTGTTACTTTGAACTAACATTAAATGAATTGATGGCTTTAGCATACTGGGGTCAAATTTGCAGTCAGTGTGATATTTACTGCAGCAACTATGCTGGAGGGAGTCAGTCATGCCAATGCCCTCCCATGCCATTGTGTGGGCAACTTCGAACTTTTGGACTTTCTGTATCATGTGATTTCAGGGGAGAAGAAATTCTCTTGGGCTTGTATTAAAGAAATTACATTATAAATATAATAAATTGTAAGGATTATTTTAATAAGAGCACACTGCAGAAGTCTAGCCAGCAATCGGGAAATTTCATCTGTCAGGTTCCCTCCGTTCAGCGGGCTCCGGTCTGCTCCATGTCTCCCGCCCGACCCCCCCTACCATCGGTGGCCAGGCTTTCAGCCTCTCTGCCCCCACACTCTGGAACTCCATACCACAGTCCCTTCACCTCGCTTCCTCCCTTGCCTCCTTCAAGGCCGGTCTCAAGACCCTCCTCTTCGATTGTGCCTTCAGTCGCCCTCCCACCTCTCTGCCTTCCCTCACCCCTACACCACCCCTCTCCCATGCTCGGGTCCTGACCCCTGACTGCCCAGTGCCTTGGGACGTCCTCCCGAAGTGAAAGGCACTCTACAAATGTAACTTTATTGCTGTTGTTGTAGATCAGTGTTGGCCAACTATTGTTTGGCAGGCCACTTTGTGACAGCTCCATGGACCAATTTCAGCCTGCAGGCCATGGGTTGGCCACTGTTGCTTTAGGTAAATGGGGGGAGAGAGACAGGTTGACGTTGACGTCACCTTGCATCAGTAAAGTTCTGTGTTGGAGTACATATATATCTGAATTGCAGAGATTACTCTGTGCTTTTCTAAGTTTGTTGTATTTCTGAATTGTCAGTGCATATTTAATACAAAGTCATAAATGGAGCAGTGTCCTTCATGTATCCACAGAGGAGTTTTTTTCACTCAGCTCTACTACATCCATCCCTGAGGTTACATTTATTCTAACAGAGAATGGTAGTAAGGTGCAAAAGGCAATGAACTATTTCTCAAGGCGAAACAACAATAGCCTCTACAGATGTGCCACATGTGAACTACAAGGTGACCAAAAAGTTGTGATACCATTAATTTTAATAATAATTACTTTATTTCTTCAAAGACAGTGTTCAGTGCATAAGACTTATTGGACATTGTAATGATATTGCAACGTTTTGGTCTCCCTGTAGAATCACATGGTGCTGCTGTGCAGCGAGAAGGCCTGCTACTTGTTCGCAGATCCTTCTTCGTGACCTTGCTGAGGTGCATTGAACAAAACAGAGCCTTCAGCAACAGATCATGGATTTATCAATTGTATAAGACAGATGTTGACCCATTGACACTCCAACTTAAACACAGAGGCTTCTGAACAACCATTGCTTTTGGTTGTTTTATCAAACTATCAGTAATATCCATTTTGGCATAGAGTCCGGTAACACCTAGATCTTTTAATGACCAGTGGGATGATGGGCCAGATATCGATGTTCATCTAAACAGCATAATAATCATGAGCAGTTGGCATGGTTTTAACAGAAATAGGAAATGCCTCACTAATCTCACTAATTTTAGGGCAAAGGAAACTAATTTAGGGTGCCGTCTTTTTCAAATAATAGGTCCTTTCCTGTTTGTAACATAATCTCTATTTACAGACTGTAACTTTGTGCACACAATCCATCCAGTTTCTTGTACATTTGTAACCATTTGTCCATTTTTCTCTTTCTAACCACAGTTTCTTTCTCCAGCTCGTCCTCTTACATTCTCGCCACAAAAACATTGGTTACGTTATGTCTTGCTGTTTTTGTCAATCCATGTCGCTTTGCACGTATTAATCTTAAATGCTCATTGTATTGTAAATGTTATGCACAATATATGTTCAAAAACTCCAGGGGTCACCTCTGTTATGAGTTTTGAACTATTCACTGCTTTCTATATAAAAAAACAATTTTCTGCCTAATTTGCTCCTTCATTGGTGACTTTTTGAGACCAATGTCTTTTCTGAGAGACCCTATGAAATGCCTTCTGAAAAACAAAATGTGGCATTTCCACCACGTTCTCTTGGTTTACTGTTGTTACTGATAGGTTGGATGTGATAGGTTTCATGAACTTGCACAAATGAAGTAAAACCATTCCATTCTATTCTTCCAGTGTCTTTGTAAAGAAGGAGATGGTGGTCACAGAGCAGAGGCAGTTAAATCTCCCACTGGTTCACGAAAATCACTGAGCAAAAAGGTCAAGTCAGTAAAGGAAACTATGAGGCGGAGAATGACAAAGAAATACAACAGCACTACACCTGAGCAGGTAAATGGAAAGAACTTGTATTATTATAGCACCTTAGCAGATTGCAACATCCAAAAGTGTTTGTGACTGTTGTTGTAGGCAAACAGGTCATCCATTTGTCTGACATATGTGGAAACCCATCACCATGCGTAAAAGTATCCAAACCAAGCTGAGATTTCCATGTATCCCACCTACACATGGAAATCCCAGAGATAAGATTGTTAGAATGGAATATGCACACTCTCCATGGAGGGTCACATCGTGCTTACCTAATCCCAGAAAGTATTAGGCGCAGGTTGGCAAGGGGAACCAGCTAAAACCCCATAGCTTGCCATGGATATTGCTGTCTGGCAAGTTTTCCCACTGGTTGTGCAGCTCGGACCACCCTACCGTTTAGGGCTTTGGGTCAACAGGAGCTGAGTGGGATGACTCCCTGCCACCAGTGACTGGTCTGCCCTTCCAAGTCCTACCGATGAGCCAGGCTGGTAGTGCTGATCATCAACAGAGCCCTGGAATACCTCACTACCGAGACCGCCACAGAGGGCTGGCTCAATTCCGACATTCCATTGCCAGGCAGGTCACATTGGAGCCCGTTCTGCTCCTGAGGAGAGCCTACTTATCTCCCCCCCCACTAAGGAAGATAGTCACTAGTTGGACTACCATATAATTTACATTTATATACCGTCTTTCACATTGGGACATCAAAAAGCGCTTAAAGCTGAATGACTGAATTCCCAGCCATGGCTGTGCCTCTGCAGAGAAACAGAAAAGTGCCAAGTGCAAGCCAGATACTCTTCCATAGATGTAGAAAGAAGTCATAGAAGGATTTGTTACTGGACTTGTTATCACGCTCTCTTGTGAACCACCTCATTACCTTAGCACTTTCCATGTATCAGGTAGGTCAAATGGGTCAATTGAGATGCTAGTGTGTGAATGAATTATTTCCCATTACTTGTCATATTACATTTGTTACTAGATAAACTTAAATTGGCTCATTCTCAAAGAATGGCCATTTAGATACAGATCCAGAGGCCATTTGTACCTGTAGAACTGTGCTCCAGTAAGAGTTTAAGTGGAAGGAAAGGAGAATACTGAAGGAGAAAAATGTGAAAATGTAACGCTGGCTCAAAATGATTTTGATTTGTATGCAGTCAGTTAATAATTCCTGATATAAAATATCTTGACAAGAATAATGCAATGTAGTCAGATCATTACTACTATAATTTAGATACAGTATATAGTGCAGTAATGTACCAAAGGGATTAACTCTGTATGAGGCAGCAGATTCACAGTGTATTTGTGCAAGTTGACCTCATTGTACATAATATGAAATGGATTTCTTCCCAGCTAATGTCATTGGATTCACCTTTCTTTCCAGGATTCTCCTTCTGATGGAGTGCTGGGCTCTCCTCAAGTTTCAAATGATGCCTCCATTCAGCTAGACAAGCCCAAGCTGACTGGCGGCAGTTCAGTAGAAAGTCTGCGAAGTTCCTTGAGTGGCCAGAGTTCAATGAGTAAGTGCCTCATTTCATTTCAATCACACAAAACATATTTAAATCTCCAATATAGACTGTTGAAAATATATCAGCGATATCCTTCTCAAACACAGGTGGGGGAGAGTGAAAACTGTTGTACAGTATTAAATGGCATTCCAGTTGAACGAAAATTAAACTGTAAAATTTATAGGAGACAAAATTGTGGTAAACATATTCCATTCAGAAGATAATAGGTGTAAACAATTCATCCAGCAGCACTTTTGACTCTGAGTCAATAGGATTTAGGTTTAAGCCACATTCCAGGACTTTGTTCTCATAATCTAGACTGATTCTTCAGTGCAGTTCTGGGGGTGCACTGCATTGTTGGAGGTATCATTCTTGGGTGCCTGTTCAGGTAGCGTTAACAATCCTATCACACTATTTAAAAAGAAAAGAGAGTTTCTCCCGTTGTCCTGGCCAACAATCCTCTAGATTCATTGGTCATTCACTTCACCACAGCTTGTGGAACCTTGCTGTGTGGAAATTGACTATTGCAATTGCCTGCAATTAAACAGCTAATACACATAACAACAATTTCCTGAAAAATGCTTTGAGATTTCGCCCACAAATATACAGTCAGTTCACTTTACAGTATATTCTGTGAAGCACTTTGAGACGTCTAGAACATGACAAGGCCCAATATCAAATGCAAAGATTATTATTATTATAATCAAAGTGGACGAGTCTAATTTGCTCTCCAGAGGTGTGTGAACACAGAAGAGATCTGGTACCTTTAGTGTATTTAGACTTACAAAAGTCGAGGCACTATATGAGACTGATTTACAAACTGATATCACTGGGTATCAAGGGCAAAATAGGGATATAAAACTGACTGAAGGAAGAAAGGGAAGCTAGGTCACAATGGGGGGATTAAATGAGGTGTTTCTGGCGTCGACTCGGATCCCTCCTGTTCCTTGTATCCATTAACTGTCTGGATTAGTAGATTCTGAAGGGATGAATTCAAATGGACCAAAGGGCGTTATCCAAACTGATCGGATATCTTGTGAACCTGCATCATATTGCAGCAAACAGTAATTAACCATGAAATCCATTTCAGAGCTTTCAGTTGCTGTAATGACCAATCGTTCTCTACTCCACGTTTCACAAATGATTAAAAATGGAGATATAATTCCAGAGGGACAGCCAGGATAGTGCCTCAAATTCTTACAGCATTTATTTAAATAAACACAAACTGTTCCTGCAGCACTTTTTGGCGTAACAAGCAAACTGTAATCTTCCAAAGAAATGGCCATTTGGCATGAATTATATGTACAGACTTCGGTTATTTTTTCTTGCCATTTTTCTTGTTGATCATGGGCTTGGAACACTTCAGGCCATCCTCATGACTGTTTCTACCCTTTGTCTCTCCCAGGTGGTCAGACAGTCAGTACCACAGATTCATCAGCCAGTAACCGAGAAAGCGTCAAATCTGAAGATGGAGAGGATGAAGAATCTCCCTATCGGGGGCCGCTTTGTGGCCGGGCTCGGGTTCACACTGATTTCATTCCCAGCCCCTATGATTCAGATTCACTCAAACTCAAGGTAAGTCTGAAATTACACTTGCTCTACACTTGCATTACTCCATTAATTATTAAGCAACATAATAATAATAGTCATCATTGCATTTGATATAGCTCTTTATCACATTGGCAAAGTGTCTCAAAGCACTTCACAGGATTAGTGGAAAATGCTGAGGCTGTGTATATTTTATGGGGCGAACACGCAGCAATGCCCACTAACAGCCATGGAGTGAGTGACTAGTTTTATTTGGGCGATTGTTGGCCTGGACACCAGGAGAAACCCACTTCTCTTTTGAATAGTGCCATGGAATCTTTAACATCACCTGAACAGGTAGGCGGGATGTTGGTTTACCATCTTCACTGAAGGACGGCATCATCCCCCAGCAAAGTATTGAAGTCTCAGCCTTGACTATGAGTTTGGAGTCCCATAATGGGGATCTTCTTTGCCTATTACTGGAAACTTTTGTTTTGAATTTTTTTTTAAATAAACACAAATGATTAACACATGTTCCCTTTGCACATCTCTTTCCACTTTCACATGTTTCGATGTAACCCATTGTACAGAAAGGAGATATCATAGAAATAATCAGTAAACCTCCCATGGGCACGTGGATGGGTCTCCTCAATAACAAAGTTGGGACATTCAAATTTATCTATGTGGACATTTTGAATGAAGAAGAGGTGAAACCAAAGAGGCCCACAAGGAGAAGGCGAAAGGAGAAGCCTCCGAAAGCCCAAACTGTGCAGGAGCTCCTGGAACGTATTAGCCTACAGGTTAGTCTCTCGGCTCAATCTTTTCATGTATTTGACAGTTTCATTTATGAACTATAACTTTTATTTACCCTTAAAGCCAGACTCTCCAAAATCCAATTCCACAGCAATGTGTAACGATTCTCTTATGGATAGAGCATTATCGAAAGATGCTGTAGAAAAAAAAATTAAAACAGGAGAATTAGGGAGCTACCAGATGCACTGGAATAGTCAGCAGCTGAAATTTTCTGGCAACTGATTTGTGTTTCTGAGAAGTTACAATACAATCCTTTAAGCATTTCTCCATCACTTGAATGAATGATGGCAGAGAATCGGTACAAACTGGAAACATGGCTCACCGCCTGCCTTGGCACAGCTGGGAATTTAGCACATAAAATGTAATAATAATAATAATCCTTACATTTGATGCAGCACCCTTCATGCCCGGAGGATGTCTCACAGTGCCTCACAGGATATACTCTTAAAGTGCAGTTACTCTATGTTTTGTGGGTGAAGAAATAGGTTGGCATAAGTTTCTTCATGCCATTTACCCAACTTCTGCCAACAGGTCAGACAGTGAACAACCTCTGTTTACTCATGATGATAAGAGATTGCCATCATTTGTTTTTTGTCACAAAGCCTTTGAAGAAATCCATAATGTTTAACTAGGAATAATTCTTGTTTGGGAAATCAACCAAAGTTGGACTGAAATCTAGATGGAATGAAACACAGGCCAATGGCATGACGCAGACACAAATTATAAATTTCCACAGGATGAATTTAATTTGTCACCATATTTGGGGGAACTTGACATGATCCAAATAATGAAAATCTCCGGCTATAATGGCCTGATGGTTATTTCTGTTTCAACTCAACAACATGTTGTATTTGTAAAGAAAGAACTTATTGTTGTATAGCAGCAATTATGCTGACGCTTCTCAAAGTGCTTCACAGTAGTTATTGTCATTATCCTTTACATATAGTAGCTTTGTTTGTAGGGAAATATTTACGTTAGGCTTTTTGGTAGACAATATTACAGTGGAGCTTCATTTAAGGTGGTCATTGGGATTCGTAAAATCTCAGCCTTCATTACAATGAGGCTACTGTTTCCAGGCTCACTGCACATGTGCACAGCTGGTCAGCACACTCCTTCCATGTCAGCCATCTTCAGAAGTCATCAGGTCTCTGCCAACATCACTTCCTATGTGCACACGCAGTGATTGGGCTCCACACCTATTGGCATTGGAAATGAACCAGTGTTGTAACAAAGCATGTTGTAAAGGCGCTGTACTGTAGTGCTATTATTCAAGCTATGTAGCAAATCTTGTCAGTTGTCTGTTCTAAGTAAGCATGATACATCGTGCTATCATTAAAAACACAGTGTTCGCAGCAACTGTGTTGTGAGGCAATTTTTACAAATGTGCTTTCAAGAAATGTCATTTTTAACATGACACGGCATTAACATGACATTTAAATACCTTTCAAACCTGATAACAATATATTCAAACTTGATAACTAAAATTAAGATTAAAATTGATTTGTTTTTTCTTCGATTTATTAAAACTAAGACTTTTCTAATTCAATGCCAGTTGCTCTTTGTTTAAAGTACTGATATCCAACCTGTTTGTTCCATCACAGGAGCACACACCAACTTTCCTGTTGAATGGATATGAAGACTTAGACACTTTCAAGCTCCTGGAGGAGGAGGATTTGGATGAACTAAATATTCTGGAACCACGGCACAGGGCCATACTGCTGACTGCAGTGGAGCTTCTGCAGGACTATGACAGTAAGAGTAATCTTGTTTGCTAAAGCTTGCAAGAATAACTCAGATCATCCAATATAAAAATAATTGGTGTTTCGCTGGGTGTTCATCATATCACTTTATCTCTTATTTCAGTTACATTCTTAGAATAGTTTAGCAAAGAATTTGCACATGACGATTAAAGCAATTCAGGTTTGGATTCTATTTGCAAGCAATGAAGAGTGATTGACAGCGGCAGTCAGTGTTGTGTTCATTGTGATGTGCTGAGGGTGGGAAAGTATTGATTAAGTGCTCCAAGAAGCTGCCCGCATGAAGGGCACTGTATAAATGCTGTTAAGGAGTGTTGGGTCCTCAAATACAGATAAAGCCTTTCTAATGTTTGAGGTATTTAAAATAATGAAAGGATGAAGCTTTTGTGGTGGTCTGTTAAGACTTTCTCATTATGCTCTGTTTTACACATTATTGTCATTTATTGTGACATCCTGATAAGCTTCCTGAGGAAAGATTGCACAAACTGCACAAGTCAAGTGACTTTCCTTGTCTTCTTTCCACAGGTAACAGTGATGTGGAGCGAGCTGTTCAGGGCAGCTCTCAAGAGATCCTCTTCGAACAGTGCTGTCGAGATCTGCATGGACACTCTCCACGGGATTCAGGCTGCTATGAGAGCAGTGAAAATCTGGAAAATGGTATGGACAGCCCCGAAACTTGCTGAAAGGAAGACTTTTCCACAAACAAATCGCAGACTTGCTTTGTCTATCCTTGATGTGCTGCAAACTAGGAAATCGCTCCTCTCATTTATTTTCTTGTTCTTTTCCCCCATCTCCATATAGATTTAGGGACAAACAAACTGCGTCTTCAGATTCCCCCAGCACAAGTATTTTATCAGCTGAGGACCCACAAGTAATCCTTAGCATTTAGAAATACTCGCCCACCCTGATTCTAGTGAGCAATTTAGACAAAGGGTTCCCACACATGTGGACAAATGTATGGTAATTTGGTTATTTGGTTAGCAGGATTAACTGGTTGCATTTGTAGAATAGTATTTATGTTTCAGAATAGTATGTGTATCTATGTTGCTATCACATTGCCTCTTGGGTTGAAAAACATATATTTGTTTGTTAGGATCTCATAGCAAATTGCTTCTAATTTTGAAACATTAACTAGGGATTTATGGAAGTGATGTTGAAGATAATTCTAACGCACGTTGACTGCAACTGTTTTAAATTGATTATTTTTAAAACTGACCCTTTTTGATTGCTAAAACTACACATTGCCAACAGTCTTTAGTATTGTCCTTTTCTCTAACTACATTTTCTCATCAGTTCCAATTATTTTGTGTTTGCTACAACATCCTTACAGTTAGAATGTGGCCTCTCACAAGATTGGACTTCCAGATTTAACTAATGGTCCATGGCTTTTGAGAGNTTTTTTTTGCTGAGTAAGAAACAAGAAGAACAACAAAATTACATGTGTATAGCGCCTTTCAAGTTGGGAGGACATCCCAAGGCGCTGGACAGTCAGTGTTTCAGACTCGAGCTGGTGGTTGGGATTGGGGAGCGTGGAAGGCAGTGGGGGGAAGCAGGGTGATTGAAGGCACGGTCAAAGTGAAGGATCTTGAGATGGGTCTTGAAGGAGGCAAGGGAGGGGGCGAGGAGGAGGGACTGCAGGATGGAGTTCCAGAGGCTGGGGGCAGAGTGGTGGGGCGAGCGAAGCGGGGGACGTGAAGCAGGCCAGAGCCTGCGGAGCGAAGGGATTGACCAGGTTGGTAGGGGGTTAGGAGGTCGCAGAGGTAGGGGGGAGCAAGACCATGGAGGGCTTTGAAGGTGAGGACCAGGATCTTGAACTGTACCCTTTCTGTGATGGGAAGCCAGTGGAGTCGGGCGAGGATGGGGGTGATAGGGTCAAGGAGCCTGGTGTGGGAGGACACGGGATGCAGAGTTCTGGAGGGAGGAGTTGGGGAGGCCGACAAGCAAGAAGTTTACATAGTCAAGCCTGGATGTTATGAAAGCGTGTATGAGGGTTTTGGCGGCCTGTGGTGTGTGACAGTGGCGGAGCCGGGTGATGTTGCGGAGGTGGGTGAAGGCAGAGCGGGTTATGGCACAGATGTGGGGTAGAAAGGATAGTTGAGGGACAAACAAGATGCCAAGGTTCTGGACTGACTTAGTAAGGTGGAGTGTGAAACCTTGGATGGTGATGCTGTCAGCGCCTGAGACAGTATGTCATCAACCAGCAATTGAATTCCACAATCTGCAAGCAGGAATGCTAATCCTGTGTCCTATTTTAATGAGCGTTAGCATTGAGAATGGCATCAGGGAAGTTGAGGGAACATCGAAGGTACAATTAGTCTTGATAAATGTCAAATGTCGCATTTAATTGACTCCATTTTTAAAGCTTTCATTTTCCTGCTCAGTGTGTATGGCAATGTTTGTTAACTGATTTGGGATGTTATACACAACAGGTCTTTGGTTGATGTAAACGTACATCACTCTTGAATTGAACCTGCGTATTTCTCTGGCATTTGATCTATTTTTCAGTAACCACTAAGTCTTTTTTATGCTCAGAGCTGGTGGATGTGAACAACAAAAGCAGTTCAGAACTGAAATTCCATCTAATCTTACGCTTTAAATCCATTCTTTTTTAAGACTAAAGATTGTGCAGAATTGTGGTAAATCCTCAGATTCATTTGGAAACTGACTTCTTTTTAAGAACTGCAGAAAATTAGATTTGAAATTAAGACTGAATTTAATTTTTCTTTACAATTCTGCGCAATTTAAAATTTTAAGACATATATGGTCTTACAGACTGAAGTAGGTAGAATTGCTGACCTCAGCAATTTACAGTCTAATAAAATATTGAGCAGGTATGAGTTCGTGAAAAATAATTACATCAAAATTATAATAGTGCACATTTGTTTATTGCAATAAATGAATGTCTGTTTAAAAGTAGGCTATTGAAAATGTAAGTATTTTCAGATTGATTAACTCAAATTTTAAACCATTTTAAATTTCAAGCTTGTTCACATCATAACAATAATTCTTGCATTTGATATAGAGCATTTCACGTCAAAAGGATGTATCTTAGCACTTCACAACATTTACTGTAAAGTGTAGTGACTATGTAAGTGAACGCACAAGCCAATTTATATACAGCAGTGAATAACCAATTCTATCTGGGGGATTGTTGACCAGGAAACTGGAAAAAACTCTCTTCTGTATTTGAACAGTGCCATGGGATCTGTAACCTACAAAATTAAAGTCACTACGCATTACAACAACAACTTGCATTTATATAGTGCCCTCCACACCTGGGGGTGTCTCAGAGCACTTAATAATGGTGGAGTCCGAGGCCGAGCCAGGGGGAGGGGAAAGGTGACCGTAGGCGCAATCGAAGATGAAGGTATTCAGGCGCGACCTGACGATGGGGAAGGAGGGGGCGAGCGAAGGGATTGAGGGAGGGATTTCAAAAGTTTCGGCTGAAGGCACAGCCCACGATGGTCGAGCGGAGGATTCGGGGGACACGGAGGAGGCCGGATCCAGTAGAGTGTAGACAGCAGGTATTATTGTGGGGAGAGAGGAAGTTAGAGAGATTGGGGGAGCCAAGGAATGGGGGATTGAAACATTATAGTGAGGATCTTGAAGTCGATCCACTTTGTGACAGGGAGCCAGTGGAGTTTGGCAAGGACTGGGGTAATCGGGGTACGCAATTTGGTGTGGGTGAGAATACTCATGGCAGAGTTTTGAATGAGCTGGATTTTGTGAATAGTGGAAGAGGGGAGACAGGCAAGGAGGGCATTAGAATATTCCAGCCGAGAGGTGACAAGGGCATGGACAAGGATTTTGGCAGCTTTAGGGGTGAAATATTGTCGGAGATGGGTGAATTACGGAGAATCCAATAAAGCACTTTGAAACATCCTTTTGACATGAAAAACACTAAGTCAAATGTAAGAAATTTAATTATGATTGATCCATACCTACTTTTTAGCTTGGCAAAATTAGTTCTAGTTAATCCCACTGGAATACTGTCTTTTTATAGCGATTTATTTAGCTATTGTTTCTACGTAGTGTTACTGTAATTACTTAGATCAGATTACATTTTAAAATCAGAATTGACCTTAAAGGAATCCAGGAAATGGTGTGTGTATGAATATTCTTTAGCATAAAATATTCACTAAACAAAAGGCTGTTTTAAAAAGAAATGTGCACGTGTGTGTGACTGGCCTGATCTGAGCTGGTGTTATTTTTTTGCTCTTTCAGATACTGGTTTTGATGAAAATGACATTAAGATTAGACTGGATAACTAGCTCCAACTATCTCTATCTCAAAAGTAACACCGCTATTTAAGAAGGGTGGGAGAGAAAAAATGGGGAACTCTTGACTAATTAGTCTGACATCGGTGGTAGGGAAAATTCTAGAGTCTATAATTAGGGACGTCGTCGTGGGGCACTTAGAAAGTCATAATATGATTAGGCAGAGTCAACACGGTTTTATGAAAGGGAAATGGTGTTTAACAAATCTTTTTTGAAGATGAAACTAGCAGGTTAGATGGGGGGAACCAGTGGATATAGTGTATTTGGATTTTCAGAAGGCATTCGACAAGGTGCCACATAAAACGTTGTTACATAAGATTAGGGCTCATGGAATTAAGGGTAATATATTAGCATGGATCGAAGAGTGGTTAACAGGCAGAGAGTAGGGATGAACAGGTTCTTCTCAGATTGGCAGGGTGTGACTAGAGGAGTGCTGCAAGGATCAGTGCTTGGGCCTCAACTGTATACAGTCTACATCAATGACTTAGATGAGGAAATAGAGTTTAATATATCTAATTTGCGGACGATACAAAGCTAGGTGGGAAAGTAAGCTGTGAGGAGGACACAAGGAGGATGCAAAGGGATATAGACAGGTTAAGTGAGTGGGCAAGAATGTGGCAGATGGAGTATAATGTGGGGAAGTGTGAAGTTATTCACCTAGGTAGAAAAAATAGAAAAGCAGATTATTTTCTAGAGGGAGAGAGACCATATAGTGTTAGTATTCAGAGGGATTTAGGTGTCCTTGTACACTAATCACAGAAAGTTAATATGCAGGTACAGCAAGCAATTAAAAGGCTAATAGCATATTGGTGTTTATTGCAAAGGGGTTAGAGTAGAAGAGTAGGGAAGCCTTGCTGCAATTGTATAGAGTCTTGGTGAGACCGCACCTAGAATATTGTGTGTAGTTTTGGTCTCCTTATCTAAGAAAGGATATATTCGCCATAGCGGGGATGCAACGTAGTTCACTAGGTTGCTTCCTGGGGTGAGGGGTTGACCTACGAGGAGAGGTTGAGTAAACTAGGCCTATATTCTCTGAAGAACATAGAAGAATTAGAGGTGATCTTATAGAAACCTATCAGATTCTTAAGGGTCTTGACAGGGTAGATAGTGTGAGACTGTTTCCCCTGGTTGGAGAATCTAAAACTAGGGGTCGTCTCAGGATTAAAGGTCAGCCTTTTAGAACTGAGTTGAGAAAACATTTCTCCACTCAGAGGGTAGTGAACTTATGGAATTCTCTACCCCAGAAGGCTGTGGTGCTCAGTCATTGAACATATTCAAGACTGAGATCAATAGATTTTTAAAAACTAAAGGGACTAAGGGATATCGGATTGGGCACTAAATAGAATTAGGTTAGAAGATCAGCCATGATCTTATTAAATG